TAATACATATGAAGTAACTCGACTTCAACAAGTTCATTCCTGGCTGGGGGCAGGGGAAACAACACACAGTTGTTGGGGGTTTTTTCTTTTTTATTTTTTAAACTAGCTAGCAAATGTGAGCCAGAAAGATGTACCCAGTTCAAATGATCCCCTTGGTTCAATATATGAGTCACAGGAAGTAAAAATCCCTCCTTTTAGCAATCCCTAGGGCAGAGATTTAAGGAACAAAACATCAACTGATTTTCCTATCTTAACTAACACTGGCCCAATGCAATGCTTAGTGGGAGAAAGAAATTGCCAGAAACTCTCAAGTCTCTTGGTCATGAGTACGTTGAAGCAAGCACAGGCAACAGCACAAAATGTCCATCCTGTATCCTGCTGTAAAAAGGATTTCTGTTCCATCTTTGTTGCAGTACAAGGTGACACCATTTTGTTCCCAGTTGGAAGAGCAGCTCTAATAGTTTTATTAGACTTTCTCTTGCAAAAGCCTCAGAACACAAAGGACTGACTCACAAGAAAGCAACACCATGAGAAATGAGACAAACAACAACACAGTGAAATGAATGGTTTTAAACTGAACAGTGAAATGAACAACACCACACTGAGGAAAGGAAACTAACTGGTTGTTTTCCCAAGGTATTGGACTGCAGTGCTCATAGTACTGTCAATAGTTACACTAACAACCACAACATCTTTCAAGTGCTTAGTATTTCAGGTCCCTCTCAGCACAGATACAAGTGTTTTGCCCAAGACACAGATGAAAAAATGAAAGAAAATCTAAGCCGAATCTGTTTATACTAAGGCTACATCAAAAAGATCTCTCTTTTCCTCACTCACAACTGTTATACCAAAAATAAACATCTTATTTTGTCAAACTATAACTGATTATAGGTAACTCCAGGTTTCTGAATCCAACAGCCAGGAAAATATTAGAAGAAGATCACATCATTTCATCTTTTCTTAGGGAAGGAAGACTAACCCCCCAGTAAAAAAGTTCTCTTGACAGGTGAGGTTACATTAAAATTTTCTCCATTTATAAACATTGTTAAAACATTATTTCTCAGTCCACACCCTCGCACTTGCTTCACTGCCTCATACTTGTACCCAATCTAACCAAATGCAACTACCACATGCAAAAAACCAAATTTGTGTATAAACCCATCTCACCAAAGTGCAGCTTCCAACATATTTCACTTTTTCAGTGGTCCTCTTCACAGATGCATAAGCAAGTTCTTCACCAAGAGGTGAAGAACAAGCACCTGACAGAAGGCATAAACCTTGAGGACCAACCACGCCACTGCAAAATACATCAATACAAAATCCAAAGGGACATACTTAGCAATTCTCACTGTGGGAGCTATTGGAGGAAATAGCTCTAGCAGATGCTACACAGACTAAAGACATTTGCTATCCTTGCTTTTCAGAAAAACAGGAAGAGGCCCATGCAGTAACTTGGGGTTAAAGGGCACCACCAAGATCCTAATTAGATCAGCACAAGATCTGCCTCATATGTAAATCAGGGATTATTGCCCCTCTCCAAACACCTGCCTCCACAAAAGCAAGCCAAAAGATGGGTCAAGCAGGGAAACTGTCAAAAGAAACTTTAGCATTGTTTTTAATTGTGGTATCTCTACACACTGATCATATACCAAATCCTTCCTGGAAAAAGTCTGGAGTATACAGAACCCCTGTGAAGTATAGCTTAAAACATCCAGACAAAACTGGCTTGATCTTCATTATGAATAACAAGCCAGACTTCTTTGCTTCTGCATCTCCAAGATAGGGTGCGGCTTAATAATCAACAAAAAATCTGAAAGAAAAAAATTGCATCCAGAACCGCTCCTTAAACAGATCCCACAGTCACAATTTCTGTAAAATGCAGAATGCTATGAGCAACCTGGCTGTAAAATCCAGAAGTACCAACGCATGCAGGCAAAAGGTCCTTGTAGCAGGCCCAAACTGTCTAACATAAGCCTCAGTGCTGTGAATTAGTAAGGGAATTTGCATCATGAAGAAGCCTGTTCTGTTCCTCCACATTATTTTCTAATGACAATTCTGCATTTGGGATCATTCCTTTCCCTTGACTATTTACCCATGCCCTCAGGAAACAAAGATAATGCCTCCTGGTAAAAAGCTTTAATTACAGCATGAACTGAACTGCTGGATTTTTAAACATGCTTTAAGTAAGGCAGCCTGATTCTGGCTTTTAACTGCTAAACAAAGAGACCAACTCATGTAGTTAACAATCAATCTGGACAAGACACAGAGAGAAAACACATCTCTCAGCATGCCACAAGCTCTATATGGGAATGATCAAAGACAAGCAGCATGCAACAGAAATGGTACAATAGATGACTCTTTTCCTCTGCTATGTATGTTCTGACAAGAAGTTTTGTGATAGTCAGTAACTAGATTTAGAAGCCCTTTTAAGAAAATCTGTATGTGTGCACATCAAGAAGAGTACAAACACCAGAAGAACTAATTTGAACTCACAGACAGAACCTGTTATCATCTTGTAAAAACATTCAGGGAGCTTTTCATTGAAAATGCCACCTTTCCACTGTGTCAACAGAGAAGTTATTTTCAGCTAGTGAAAATGCTTTTCCCTGAAATGCTGAAACATTTCCAGTCTCATCAGAAAAGCAAGGTAATGAAGAAAAGTACTTTTGAAGCCTCATACCATCATCTAAAGAGACCTCATACCAATAAGCCCATATGTCAGGGGCAGGGCTTGGTTTGCAAATAAGATTCTGGTAATAAAACTATTTCTGGAACAGTTTTATATTGCAGAATTGCTCATATCAGAATAGTATATTTCTACATAGAAATAACATAATAAATCAATAACTACATGACTATTACACTTTCACAAAAATAGGTATGTTTGTGTAAATGAAAGTACATTTAAAGCAGTTCAGCATATTTTTGTAGGCAATTCCTGTATACTTACCATGGAGCACATTGGGTAGATTCTGGACATTCCAAGGAAGATATTCATCAGGCTATGCCAGAGACCTGCTTGACCAATTACATTAAAAATTCACAATGGTACTAGGCCCAAGGGCAAGGACAACAAATATCAACTCCTTCTTTCAGCTGCTTGGTTATAATATGGAACATGAGCGACACCAAAACGTATCTGAGAGCAAATCACTTGCATTCGATGAAACACTGACACCAGAGAGCTTGGTGAACAAAGCAGGAGTTCTGGAATGTATTTGTTCAGTTTCTCAGTCAGCAATTTATGTGCTGGCAGAGTAAGTAGCCTTGTCTAAAACTTGTGTGAATATACAAATAAGTTGAGTAATTTTACTAGGAAGTTCAGTTCCAACCCAGTGCAGAGTTAAACGAATCTGTTTCAGACAAATGAAACTCCACTGGAATAAGAGCCAGTGCATTGTTACTACCAGTCTATAAAAATTAAGTCCAGTTGTGCCAGGTTAAGTCCATGCCTGAAAATAGTAAAACCATAATCAGCTAAGTCAAACTCCCTTTTCAATTCAAAGCAGGGGGGAAAAAGCAATCTTCTTTTGATTATTTTGATATAACTGAAGACATATAAAGAAACAGCTGAAGTTGGCAGCACTGTACATAAGACAACAATGCCTGAGATTCATTCAGAGCTATGCCTGAAGAAAAAAATAATGGCTGTAAAAATGTTCAGATGCTACCAGTAAATCTGCATTAATTCAAATGATTCTTTGAGGAAAGAACATAATGCTGAATAATCATGGGAAGAGCTGGCAGTGCTGTGGTACAATCACACCACATGGTCTCAAAAAGCTCATTTGTTCATCTTGTTATCATATTGCAAATAAACTGATGAATAGATGCTTTTCAACTCCTGTTAGAAGCAGAAAGAATGACAGCTCCCAAAAAGTAGGAAAGAACCAGATCGATGGCACAGCAATGTTGCAACAAAAGATGCCCTGCTCTTCTGAAGAAGACACTCTCCTGCCCCTGTCCTCTGCCCTGGTGAGGCCTCCTCAGGAGCGGTCTGGGCTCCTGAGTTCTGGGCCCGTTCTGGGCTCCCCAGTTCAAGAAAGACAAGCAGCTACTGGAGAGGGTCCAGCAGGGAGCTATGGAGATAAGAAGGGGACTGGAGTATCTCTCTTATGAGGAAAGGCTGTGGGAGCTGGACCAGTGCAGCCTGAAGAGATGACTTCACAAAAGACAGGGGACCTTATCAATATAAATACCTTAAGGGCAGGTGCCCAGAGGATGGAGCCAGACTCTTTACAGTGAGGGCCAGGAAAAAGACAAGGGGCAACAATCTATATATATAAGAAAAAAAACTTCTTTCCTTTGAGGGTGACAGAGTACTGGAAAAGGCTGCCCAGGGAGGTCATTGACCCTCCTTCTCTGGAGATAATTCAGATCCACTTGGACATTATCATGTGCAACCTGCTCCTAGATCAACCTTCTTTAGCAGGGAATTGGACTAGATCTCCAGAGGTCCCTTCCAATCCCAACTATTCCTTGATTCTGTGATTCATGACCAATTTACTCTTTTCTCCTGCTAAAAGTGCAGCATAGGATTACAGAAGTGCTCACAAATTAAGCCACCAATAAAAGCAGATAAAAACACAATGGCCTAAGTAGAAACCATTGCCTCATCTACTCAGGTTATGCATTCCAGATGTCATCACTTTTAAATTATTACCTCATGACAGCCTACATTATATAAAAGACACAAAAACATGCTACCTTTGAGTCCTTACACGATGCTTTGCATGACTAGCATGCTTCCAGCAGCAAGTAAACAAAAAGTTTTCTCAAGCTCCAATGAGAACCTCCAAAGTTTTCCTGAGGTAACAGTAAGCATGACAATGTCCTACCATGAGTGACAGATAATTCCTACAGTAAAATCTGCGTGTGTGGATATGTACACTTGTACACATGAGAGATATAAACAAGAATGACAAGGGGGTATAAGAAATCGCAAACCCATTCAGATGGGTATTTTATTCAGACAAGTATTTTTCATAAAACAGATTTACCTGAGACTCTAACTCCTCCAATTTACGCTTCCTGGCATGAAGAGCTTTACTTGGAAAAGCCCAGAAGTAATTGGAAGTTCCAATTCTATCAGTGTCCACCATGCCATCATCAACGAGGCTTTGCAGAATCTCTTTCACTGACATTGAGGCTAATAAAAGCAAAAATGTAAAATAAGAGCTGCATAGCAGCTGGACTATGGAGAATTATGAATACCACAAACTACTCTCTACAATCATCTGTATTTTCCTCCAGTGCCAGTTAGCTGGAAGTTTTCACAAGCACAACATGCCCATCAAGCTCCACTTGAAGGGATTAATCTCTCTCAAACCAGCAGTTTCCTCCTAGATGCTGCTATCCTGCACATCTGCTACCAGATGTTTGCAAAACACTGCTCAGGAGTTTTGCAAAAAATACATGCATGGTACACTACAATACCATAACAAACCCATGAGAGGTGCCTGAGAAGTTGTCTTGCAATCTTAATTCTAACTTGGATTAACTTAAATTTCCTGATTGGGAGTGTAATTGTGTTTCACATTGTAATGCTTAACAAAGTATTTCATAGCAGAAGAGGCACTAAAGCCATCTGTCTACAGACTCAGGAAGGACAGATTCTGATTTTAATTATATTCACTTCCAATATAAAACATCATTTACACTCACAAGCATCAACATTTCTGAACACAACTGATCATTTCCTTTCAGACCTGTGGTATAATTCACCATTTAAAAAAAATGGTACCTGTTCAACAAAGTTAAGTAGTTATGTTATCCTCAGGTGTTGCAGATATAAAGACTTTTGAGCTTAATTATGGGTTTTGGTACCTGATGTTCAATTTCAAGACTACAGTGGGCCCACATATTTTGGAAGCTATAGGCTGGATGCCAGGAGGGGAACAGGTTAGTAATTTTTCTTTTCAGAGTAACTAGGGCTTGGTTTGTGTGGCTAAATGCCTTCATATGCAGAGACAGGATGAATTTGGACTATTCAAAGGTGTTAATGGCTTTATAAACCCTAAACTCAATTTTACTGCAAATTACAACTGAACATATGCATTGACAAACCAACCAAGACAGCACCACATCTCTTCAGAAGCCCACAAATGCCTCTGTTAGCTGCTGACAAACAGAAAAACTCTGCTTTGTGATATTCACATCTGTAGTTCTCTCAGCAAGTTCATTTACTCTTGCAGTGCCACCAAGACATGCTGGAAAAGGACAGTGGTAACTACACAAACATTATGCTTTGCCTCCCTTTTGTCAATGAGCATAGAAGGAAAACACTATAGTAACATACAAAACAATCCAAGAGCATAGATAAATCCTCTTGAACCTAATCCTAAACAGATCTCATCAGGAAGGCTTTTATAGAAAAGACAAACCCCTTCTATTTGTAGCTGTCCAGCCATTTTTGGAGGTGAAAAAGCCCAAGAGCACACTGCTCATGTATATTTGGACTAGCATTTTAACCATTTGTGATATTACAGGTAGATATTTAATACCCGAGTGCAAACAATGATTTCATATGCTGAAAGTCACTGCAAGTCAGGTAGCTCAGAGCCTAAGCAAGCCCCCATCCCATGTCACTTTTAACACTACAGCCCTGCCACTGACCAGTCTCCCATTCTAGCTACATTTTCTGTTACTAAAAAAACAAACCTAAGATTGTAGCCAGGAAAATTTACACTGTAGGACCTGTCCCAAAAATGATTACTTGCTCAAGAGAAATAACTTATATAAACACTTACTAATCCCTTTTTCTTTTGGAGCAATCTTCTCTAGATCCTTCAACTGGAAAACATCTTTCTGTGCAAAATATGAAAGACATTTCAGTTCCAAATGACAGCATCATCTAAGACTGAGTGTTTTTTACACTAAATCAATGCCAACAAAATCAAGTAGGAAATATATTGTACATTTTAGTTTTGCTTGGGAAATAGCCTGCGTGTCCCTCAATAGAACTGGAACATTCTGAGAATTAATAAGAAAAGCATTACTACTGCAATAAAACCTGCTCTTTCCTTTGGTAATCTCAAGTCATCATATTTCATCTCCAGTTAGATTATAAAGCCCTTAAATCCCAGGTTAGACTGTCAGCACAGATGCACCATATTGCTTCAGTGCTTAAGTGTCACAGTATTTTTTCCAAAAGGTAAAAACATGGTGTATAACATGTGCCACCAATACAATTGTAGCTCAGCTTTTGGATCTCCAGGTTTCTTTTCCCCAGGGACCCTTTCCAACTCTGCTCTCAGTTTTTGTGAAGCCAAGATTTTTTCCTCCTCCCATAAAATGCAGTGAGATACTTCCTAATTTCCTGGTGTCCCCCTTTATGGTAACATACTCAAAATGAGAAGATGTGCATAGGTAGCACATGAATTTAACACCACCTGTGCATCTTCATTTCTTGGCTCCACCTGGGATAAGCCACCTGATCAGAAGTTAAATTAATGAAGTTTTGCCCCTGTAATTTTTACCCTCATGTCACAGGGCGTCAGTGAAATGCCTGCCAGGACACAGAGTTCTGCTACATCCCCAGTTAAGCTCTTTTTAGGACCTGTTTTCCCATCAATGTAAATGCAGGACAATTACAAGTTACTTACTGTTTCAAAAAAAATCTCCATCATGCGGGCCCTCTTCTCTTCAAAACTCAGACCTTTCTTCTTGGACTAGAACAGGAGAAAAAATAAAAAAACTAATCAAAACATTTGGCTACCAGAATAATTAGTATCTGCTCAGAATTCAAATCTATTCACCTGTAAGTTGTATTTGCCATCCTTTAAAATACCTTACCACTAAGTCCAGACTTTCAGATAAACTCCTTCTTTGCAAATAATCTCTACACTAAGCTCATCTGTTAAATGGAAGGACCTACCCTTAAGCCATTCATATAACCCAAACCCACTCCAGCCTCAATGCTCCTTGATACATACCAATCCCAAAATATGTATTGATACCAAATTCACACAAATGTTTAAAAACTCTTATGAAGATAAAGAGTACCTTCTGTTTGGCTTGGTGTTTTTTTTTAAGAATGGCTTTCTATATTGTGATATACAGACAGTAGTGTGAGTTGTAGGCCATTCGGGTGTTTTTAAGGAGATAAAGAATATTTTGAGGTATGCCTTTCTTCAAAGGTCCAAACCAACTTCATCATTTCAAGCTCACATTTTTAAAACAGTGCTGCTTTTATTTCTTTTCCCTCTGGTTGTGTGACCAAGCATTAAACAACTTGGGTTGAGCTACAAGAAAAAGGCAGAAGTGGCTACAAACTGCTATCAACTGTTGGAACTCAAAATGTCCCTCAGACATTTTTGGAGGTTCCAGGCAGGTCACAAGCATTTTAGACCCCGGCAGGCAGCTGGAAACAGCTGTGATTTTGAGTTTGAGCCATGGAATGAATTACCAACTTTGGAGGTGGAACAAGCAGTCACAAAGGGTTAGATAGTACAGTAGAAGTACTTACAAAGTAGAGGGGGAAATTTTTTAGTATTGTACAGGGGAGTTTTTACTTTGTACATGGGGGTCAGAAGTTCTAAGATGGAGAAAAGTGGGACGATCCTGTTCTTCCTCCTTCTTCTTCCTTACCTCCATGTTCTTGGTGATGCTGGCACTCGCAGATTGGTTTAGAGTAGAAAAGCACCTTGTAACATAGGGAGTAGGTATTGGGGAGAAACTGTAAACATGTAATACGTAATATATCATATAAAAGATAGCAGCAGCCCTGGGTGGGGGGAGAGAAGAAGAAGACACCAGACAGAGAGGATGTCAGGGTGTGTGTGTGCCTTTGCCTGGGCTGCTGACCAAACAGTCGCAGCCCATGAAGACAATCTTATAGATAACTAGCAATAAACTGCCCTAAGACCTAACAGCAAGAGGCTGCAGAGTCTTTCCTTGGAAGCACGGGTTGGAGGAAAGACTTTACCACCACACGGGACCCCTGAACCAGGCCAGGGGTTCCGACAATCAACAACACAAAATATACAACAATACAAAATATACAAACTGCTATCAACAACATAAAACTGAGAAACAGTCTCTCCTCTGGTCACTTTCAGAGATGCTATTTTGATATGCCTCTTATAAAATTAGGACATAAAATAATTCACAGAGAATTAGAATTTTATTAATAGCATTAAGTGCAATTCTCAACAACGCAAAAGCAGCAGCCACAATGTGAAATTTCCCCTTGCCCCACCCACTCCCTGATTCACACTGTGTGCAGCTACAAAAAAGGGAAAGAAGGACAGAAAGGGCCAAATAAGATGTTGGCAGAAAAAGGTCTCATTTAAAAAAAAAACACACCAAAAATAATGCATATTGTCGCCTATAAATCAGTGGAACTGGGTAGTCTAATAACAAGGTGTTTTGAGAAAGGCAAGGCTATGTTTCCAAGTTTCAAACAGAGAGGAGTCAACACAATTTTTACTTTTTAATAGCTGTTTCCTTCTTAAAAAAGAACACAATCAGGCAGCACACAACACTTTAAACATGCAAGAGCAAAATGGCCAGACTGGTTTACTTTTAAAAAACAAATGTAAAAGCTAGCTTATGCATGTAATACAGAGAAAGGAACAGAAGCAATCCAGTATTATATTTAATAAAGAGCACCATTACTATTTTTTAGGTCCTCTCTCTCCTCTTCTAGCCAGCAATACCCTAGGTCAGCACTGCTGTCTCCTGCAATGTCAGTATATTGCAGGATTAGAACCTGGAGCTGCTGTGAACATTCAAGAAAGCAGACGGATTTAACCTCATCTAATTTCCACCTCCTGTCTTCTCCACGAGCCCTGACACCGCCAGCAGCAGCAGAACACAACGCGTAGGCACGACGTGGAATGGAAGTGGTGTTTCTGGAACCATGTGCTTGTAGCGACGCCCCTCGGGCGCCAAGTTTCACACCGCCACTCCAGCGAACAGAGCAAAATAACGAAGCCAAGAGCAGTCTCGATGAAGGTTGTTGACTTTCACGTTAATTCCTCCCTCGCTGGCAGGCGTTCCCCACCACAAATACCAACCCCACCACGAGCCCATCCCGCTGCCGCGCCCGCAGGCGGACGGCAGAACGCGCGCCGGGAGCGCGCCGGGCACGCCGCGATTCGCTCTGCCCGCGCCCACCGCCCCGCAGCCTGGCCACTCCTGGGCTCCCGCGTCCGGGGGGAACCTGCGGGCACCTCGAGCCTGGAGGAGGCCACTCCTCCGGGTGCCGGCTCGTTTGCATCGCTCTTTAACAACCCAAAGGCACGGCCCACACCGCGCTGCCGCTGCACCGCCACAACCGGCACCGCGGGGCCTGCCCGGAGCGGGAGCCCCGCTCCCCTCAGAGCCACCGAGGCGGAGGGACAGCGAGGCGCGGGCGGCCGTCACCGCCATCCCTGCGGTCGCGGCTCCCCCCGCAGCCTTTGCTGGCTCCCGGGAAGGAAAGCGGGTTGAGGCGGAGGGCGGCGGCCGCGCTTACCATGTCGCGGGCGGCCGGCGCGGTTTGATTCCGGCGCCACCGGGCGGGAAGAGCCGGGCGGGCGGGAAGCCGCGTGCGCAGCGCCGCCTGCTGACCGCCCCGCCCCGCCCGCCCGGCCCTCGCCGCCCTCACGGCGGCGGCGGCGGCGCTTACGCGTGGCCAGCGTGCGCGTGGTTTTTGAATGGAGATCTGTGGGGTGTGTTTTGGTTTGTTTTGTTTGGGTTTTTTTTATTTGTTCGTTTGGTTTGTTTTGGGTTTTCGTTTGTTCGGTTTTTGTGGTTTTGTTTTTGTTTTTGTTTTTGTTTTTTGCCTGCCAGCTGGTGCCGTAGAATAAAACGGAGCGCACAGCAAGATCGTGTTAGCCGTGATCTAACGCCACGTGTATTGTGCTACCCGCCTGTCGCGGGAGCCACGGGCCGTGGAAAAATAATAAATAATAAAGCCCTCGCTGCCCGTGGAAGGGAAGGGCCTGGCCACAGCTGGTGTTGCTTGAAGCAGTTGTTCATTGCGATGACTGTTCTCGCAACTTTAATTACCGGCGGCTTGTTTTAATTATTATTTGTGTTGTAAATCACTTTCCTTCAGCTGCAGCAAGTTCTGAGAAATCGCTTAGCAACAGCAGTGGCTTCATATGTGCCATACTAAATCAAGAGTTTAAACTCAAGCAAATGAAAATGTGCAAGCTGAGATGTTTAGGCAGTTCCTGTGAATATTTTTGATGCCTTTTGCAAGGTGACCCCTTCCCTGAAACCTGAAGTTCTTGTCCATGTAGCCCATGATCCCATTTCTTCTTGTGCACACCAGTGTATTACTAAAAATGAAATGCAAATTAGAAAAGACATTTTTAATACAAAGCTTTTTGTTCTTTTTCATGTGCCTCATATTTCCAACTTGCTAACTCAGGATGAAATCTGTTGGTACACCCCCTCATCTGCTGTTGAGGGCTCATATTCTATCTCTCTGCCTTCCATTTATTTTGGCCAGTCCTTAAAGTGACAATGTCCCCACACTCGCTGTGACAATTCTTTTCCACCTGTCATCCTCACCACTGCAGTCCAAGGGTCTGGGCCCCTTCATGCTCCTTCACAGCCTGAAACAAAAACGAGCTCTGCTGTTTTTCTACTGCTGCCAAGCAAATGGTTGCTGCAACATTTGCAAAGTCCTCATTGCTGCGTGGGTTTTCTCCGAGTGACACGTATGAGTGGCAGGGTGGGTGTCAGAGCTGAATATGCTGCCTGCAGTAGAGGAAGAGGAAAGCAAGGAAGGGTTTCAGGGGGGCATTCACTCTTGATGTGGGCTTGGGGCAAGTATCTCATGTCTTCTGTTCAGTTCTTAGGAAGCAGCAGTGCTCCCATCTGCCTATTACTTATGAAAGAAAACTGCCAGCAAACACCCAGGTGTCACTCCCAGACAGAGCCAGCATACAGCTGGAGCACACACCTGGAACCACAGCTGGAATGCATTCCTTATTTCAGAGGTTGAATGTGATCACAGCAACCCAGAGAGCCCATCCACCTCCAAAACATGCTCTTGAGTGATGGTGGGGCAAGTGGCACAGCAGGGGTTTTCTGCCCATGGCCCCTTGCTGATGCCTTAAGTTTTAGCTTTCATATTTTCCAGATTCTGTACTGCATTCCTATATAACTCTGAGCTTCATTTAAAGTGTTAGCAAGTTCACTTCACAGTTTAGTAAGACAAAACAATCCTTTTCCAGCCTGAGAACCAAGGACACTGTTGCACCTTCAGTCCCAAAATGTATAAATCAACAGCAAATTGAGGAGAGCAATCTGGGAGGATGGTACTTCATAACCTGAAGCTGTAACTGGTCAATTAATCCCAATATATAAATGGACCAAAAGTTATAAAAGTGTGAAAACTCATGACTGGGCATCCATCTTGGGTGGAGCCACAGCCAGGCTCTTGTACTGCCCAAGGTGTATCCTTTGAAGACCTTTTAATAAATACCTACTTTATTCCTTTAACACTGTCTAGCCTCTGTTCTAGGATAGCCTCTCAAGGCATCATGGGGATAGCCAGGGTCAGCTGCCACAAGTGCCCTGGCAGCCCTGAAGCCCTTTCACAGTGTCAGGAAAATCCACAAAAGCCAGAGGTTTATGTCCAAAAAGGAGACAGAGCAGTCCTGCAACTTTAAATAAAGGAAAAGTCCACTGGGGAACGCGCCCGCAGGGTTTTCTCTCTGGAGGTTTCAGAGGGCACAGCCTCCTTTTATCACAAACTCCTGGCCTCATGTTGCCCCTTCCTTTCTCCATTGGCTGAGGTACTCGGAAGGTACAGACTTCCCAAACTGCCTACCACATATCCCCCACCTTGTACCTACTATTTTACCCCAAAGCAACTCCAGCTTGTGCAGACCCTTGTTTGTTTCGGGAGCTGAGCTGTCTGGGCTCTGCAGCAAACCCACTGCCCAAAGTTAGTACAGACATTAAGACCCATTTCAAATATATTAACACCCATACCTTCACCCAGCAAATTGTTTGTAAAGACATTAGCTTTCCTCTCCACGGCTACATCACTGGGTTTAATTTGCTCTGTAATAGACACTCCCTAACACCTCCCACATTTTACAGCACCTGATCAAAACTAATTGGTTGAAAGACCATGGGGTGAAAGAGGTCCCAAACAAAAGGGTGTATGTCACGCTTTGTCATTTGAGAGGTGGTTTTCCATTACTGCAAGAAGTAGAATGAATGACTCCTAAAATACATAAAGGCCTGGTATTTTTAATGGGCTTCAGAATGTCTAAACGTGGTATTTCACAAAACTGCTAGTCTTATGCTATGATTCTAAAAACAAGACAATGGATGGAAATACAGTGTAATGGAGACTCATAACTGTGTATTTCCATTAGAATATTGTTCTCATTTTTCTGTGATTTTCTTAAGCTTTAACAATTTGGGCTACATTTTCTATTCTAGGAGTCTGACTGAAATCTTTAAGTACTGATCAAAATAGTTTTCCACTGTTCCTGAGTTAGAGAAAATACAGTGCTTTGTCAGTGTAATTATGCTTGGATGAGATGAAATTTGTACTCTCCTTAATTTTGCTCTTACAATTGACTGTAGCTGAATTGCAATCAGAAATTTGAAAGGACAAGAAAGCGACAACAGCAGAAAGCTGAGCCAGTAGAGAATGAAAATTGTCCTAGTTTAATTTTGTTCTTTTCATACATATGTGCCATAGCACAGTCTTAATTAAAAGAGCTATTTTTTTCATAAGGGAAGAGCTCAAATCAAATATGGCAGGAAAATTAATCCACAAACACCAGAGGTTTATGTCCAAAAAGGAGACAGAGGAGTCCTGCAACTTATTCAAACAAAGGGAGAGGCCATGGGGCATTTCCCATGGGGTCTCTCAAGGGGACACAGCCTCCTTTTTATTCTGATTTCCCAGCTGCGTTTCCCTCTTTCCTTCCCCACTGGCTGAGGTACTTGAGAGGTACAGACTCCCTGAAACACCTAATACCTAAAACCCTTTCTAATGTATAAAAACCCCTTTTTTCTTTTTCTTTGTGTCTCTGTTCTTTTTCTCTAAATCCAGACATTTAGCAGAGCCTTGAGTGAATAACAGTCTGTGTCAATTAGTGGAATTCCTATGGAATTTATGGTTTCCCCCATTGCTTCTTTCACCTCACTGTATCTGGCCTTATCTACCATCAGGCCCACAGTTTGTTTGTAAAGACACCTCCTTCTCATTCCTTTCCAATAGCAGATCATTTTCTCTCTAGAAGAGTAAGATCAAGCCTTTTGAGTCCTGTGGCTGCCTCCCACAGCACCTGTATGAACTTAAGCATGGAGGATGAGGAGTTGCTCACCATGGCAGGTGATACCAACTTCTCTGGGATCCAAGCAGTCTGTCATGGGCCGTGGCCACACATCAAGGAGCAATATGATCCATGAGTATCCCATATAGGCCAGTCTGTAGCATCTACTGCCTCATTCCATCCTTGAATGAGCTTTTGGACTGTAAGCAGGTGTTCTCCCTACATTTAACCCTTGAGGGAAAAACCCTTGGTGAGAAATGCTAGCTGGCCCTCCTCCAAAACTTACTGCTTCCACAGCTTTGCTAGGCAGAGCTGCTGAAGTGAGCATCACAGTTATCCTCGAGGTGAATAGCACAAACACTAGGATTTTGGTCACAAGGCATTTCTCTGAAGGAACAAGGCATTCATATGCCTAGCTCACAACAAATCTGAGGGCAGCAGCCCTCAACTGCATGTAGCAATGAGCAGCAAGTGCTGGGTATCTCCTGCACCAGGACAGCTAGGGCCTGCCTAGGGAGAACATCTGTCCACAGAAATGGCATTGACTGTTCCACTCCACTGAGATAGTTCAGTCTGATCCAAATTAGAGAGCATTCTCATGAACTGTCAGTAAAACTGTGGAGAGAGTTAACTGCAGAGCAGCACAGCTGGATGTGAGAGAGAAAATCAGCCTAAGGAACAAGGAAACATTTTTGAACACGCAGTGGCATGTTAAGGGCTACCACTCTAAAGAGAGAAAGCCTGTTAAGGGTGGCTGCCCAAAGTACCTGCTCCTTTGGCGCTATTCTCCCTGACATTGTTTCTCATTGGTGAGACTGGGTTCTCTAGTCATATTTACAGAAATGCTAAAGATTCTACGCCTCATTTATGTATTTTGATAAGTACCACAAGAGGGTCAAAGAGGAAGTTGGCCATTTACTGCAGATATTTCCTGGTAAACAAAAGTGTTCCCCAGTATTAGTGTTTGGCCTGTATGATTTTGCTCAGTGGTGAAGAGCCTCTGCTCTAGTAACCCAGGGAACAGGAAACATTTCTAGCCTATCAATAAGACAAGATTTGGAATGTAACAAGCATCTCACCTACTAAGCCCAGTGGTTTCCGGCTATCCTGTGTTATTGCTTCTAGTCTTCGTGATCTTTTTTTACACGGGAAGGAACAAGTGCTCTGCAACTCTGAATGTCAATCCAACACTGCTCTGCTTCAAGATGTTCTTTTAGCTGGCAGACAAATAAAGCTTTTTGTAATTATCTGAATTTCAGGGCAGACAGACAAGTACATTCAGCACCAAGAGTCTATTTGCTGAGTGTGTATTCATCAGGAGACTGACAGAAAACCAAAACTGATCCATTACATTGTACTAGGTTTGTCCTTAGGAGAAAAATGAGGCCTCAGAACATGGCTACTGACACTCCCTATGACTTGCAAGAAAGAATAAAACACGTATTCCTCTAGAGGGTTTCGGGGAGAGATCAGCTGTCTCATGTCTGACTGTCCTGCCACTGAGCAAACACTCATTGACCCTGCTAGTCCCCTCCATTGAGGTTGCATCCAAGCCAAATGATGCATCTGAAGATTCTGTCTTACTTCGTGAGCAAGTTCCCAGTGACACTGAGTTCTCAAATGATTCAGTGACTAAGAAGACATAGGAACTATGTGAAATTGAAGTTAATACAAGCTGGAAATTTGTTCTTACAGAAACAGAGTTAGACTGAACTCCTAAGGCAAATTTTCTATTCTCCACAATAATTTAATTTGGTTTTCTGCAACAGACTGTTGAAAGGTTATATCACACCTCAGCTAAAAGGTACTGTGTACCTGTGATGCAAGCAGAGAAGCTTACAGCTCTTAATCTTACCACCACCAATTAAAATCTTAATTTTGGTTCCTGGACTGAAGAAGAGAGAAACAAGGAAGCTTCAACTCTGCACCTTCTTCCCAAGAACAGCTCAAGTTCCTCTTTGCTCTGTATTAACATAAAAATTTAACACCCATGAAAAAAACGCTGTTTCTTTGGCTTGTGACCTGTGGTGTCCGGGAAGAAAACTAGAAAAAATTACCTGTCTTCCTGCATTATGGGGTTACTTTTAAGGTACAAGTATAAGACATATGAAAAATAAATCTTCAAGCATGCAAATAACAGAGGAAACAAGCTTTATTTTTATTATTTGAAATTTTTGTGCGTGGTAAAGGTACACATTTGACTCTGGTTTTCCTACATTTCCAAGACAGAGTAAGTTTTTTTTTGTCAGCTAAAGCATTATGAATACCATGGCACACAGGAAGCTAAAACTACACACACACACACGCGCACACGCACATACAAACACTTTGATGTGCATCTTTCATCCTTGACCTTAAGGAGAAAAAGTCTGTATTTCGCTTCATAGGGATTAAAAAAAAACCAAACAAAAACATCATCATTGACAACAAAAAAACAAGTGAGAAGAATATTTCATTATGAGCGTCAAGAGAGTGCAAGGTTTACATATACACAAAACATATACTGACTTACAAAGATGGAATGTACAAAAACTTTGAAAAAACATGAAAAAAAGAACTGGAAACACTCCTAGAACTGGAAAGTTGCAGCATATCAACTGGTAGAGATTTCTATCAGAGGCTGCTGCCATACACTATGTAACTTAGGGAACATTCCCATGTCATAAAGCCAAAGAAAAAGTGTCAGGGTTAAGGCTGTGTTGCTCACAAACATTGACTGAAGTGCTGTACATTTGTCAGAATTAAAATGACCTATTAGGAACCTTTCCACTCCATAGTACAAAAGGTATTTTGCACACTTTCCACAAACAGGTCAGATAATCACTGCTTGAATTCCTGAAATAAAGTTTGACTTTACATCATGATTTCATAAAAAGCTGTCTCCCACAACTGAAAGTCATTTCTTTATAATAAACACAACATATTGGGCACTTAACAGTTTTCATTATGGCAACACTAAATCCTTATTTATTAAAAATACTGACATAAAATCAAAAGCTTTTACAGAACAAATGAACATTTACTAGTAAATAGCACTCCATCTTCATGAGGCAATTGCTTGCCTAAACCATTTTCCTTTTCTTTTTCAATACATTGGTGCTGGTTTAACCTATGTAAAACTCTCCTATTGTTTATATTGGATTTTTCTGAACAGATCATCTTTTTATTCTATTCACTGAACAATGAAAATACAGTTGGCTAGTTTGTCCTAAAATACTCCATATGACACAAGATCTAAGAGCCTTTTGAGATTACTTTTGAGTTGAAGATTAGTTAAATGAAGCAAATACTTTCACCATTCATGCTGTGCTGCTAGTCAATTAGCATTCCAGGGAAGTTAAGGGGACATTTGGTTATACCTGAAATCCGGCAGCAGCGTGCCTATAAAGCCTTTAATAAATGCTAACAACTCAGCAAATCACATAGTGCAATTCTGACATTCCCTTAATTGGATGAGAAAAAAAGTCTGCCAGCTTTTAAGTGCAGAATTTCTGCTTTGGTTGCTCTTTGTAAGGTTTGTAAGCCAAGCGTTTTAGCAAAGATGGCTTCAGAAGCACCATAAAATCAATGTGTTTCTCAGTTTCCCAGTGCCTGGCAGATAAGGTCAGATAAGGTCCCTTGGAAGGGAATGCCCTATGCCACTAAATTTGAAGTTGAGCATTGGCTATCAGAAATAACCTCAAATGCTGACAGCATTTGCTATCAGAAATAACTTCAAATTCATGACATTCTTTAGGTGCTGCTCTGCTGATAATGTCTGAAAATCCAAAAGACTACTCAATTTTCAGAAAAAATCCACAAAACTCCTAATAGCTTTCAGCTGGGTTGTAAGGGAGGTTATGTGCAGAATTCACTTATTTAATCAGTATGCACTGAGTTCACAAGGGTTATCTAAAATCCTGGTAAACAATGCTCGACCAAAGGACTGAAAAACTTTTAAAGAAAAGTGTATACGTGAAATAGTACAGTCTTAAATATCTTTTCTGATGTATGGGTTAGGATCCAATTTTCATGCTTCTCAAAGTACCTGACAACAGAGATTTGGCAATGTTTTCTGAGGGGTAAATATGCAAGCTTAGTAAAATTGTATTCTAAAAATCCATATTTGGAACTAAATATGATAACTGACAGCTACAGCACATTTTAAAAAAATTTTATCTCAATCTGTGCAACCTCTTCTCTTTATTACTAAATACAGTTCAAATGTCTTTTCTTCATTGATGTGCCATTTAAGGGTCTTCCAATGTCAGAAAATGTTATAAGGACACTTAGAATGAAAATTTCATCTACAGCTTTGTTAAATTTTGATAGGACAGTTTATTTGTAATGACTGAGATACCATGTTCAGAATTTTAGGACAAACTCAGTTCAAGCAGAGGATATTTTGTTCTCTTAGTAATAAAAACTTGAGTTTTAATATTAATAAATGTTACCATCAGTTTCTTAGCTTCATTATACAGTCCTTAAGCTTCATGCACAAAATACTTATTCCAATGAACTAAGGAAACTTATATTTGCACAAAAAATTTTAAATTGGTTTATGTGCAAATAACAAACAAAGGAAAGAAGAGGAAATATCTTCAGGAAACAGTAATTAAAAAACAGACAAAACCCCCATTTAAGAACCTTGGGGTCTGCATTTTTACAAGTCAAATGCAACTTTAGAAAAAAACCATTAGTTTTTCTCAAATTAATCAGAACAATCACCTTATGTTTTAGAAATAAGACAAATACTTATAACAAAAAAATTTACCAAAGATTTCTTTCCATTTTGCAAACATGCTTAAAACACTCCCTTGTTTCTGACCCAATGCCCTTTTGTTTCAAGGCTCTAAAAATGCAAAAAGAAAGGTAGCAATTCCCAGGCTGTTGTAGGCATTGGCAGCAAGCTCACAGCTCCTCAAACAACACTTAGAAGGGAGCACCACTCTATCTATATCAGGCTACAGTAGCAATTCAACCTTTGACCACTGGATATTGAAATAAGAACAAAGCCAATGCGACTTTAGAAAGACAAGTTCATACTTAAAAACCCCCCAACAAACCAAACATTAAAAACAGAACCATGCCTGTAAGCATTTCCAGTTAAATTAATACTTCAACAAAGAACACAGTAGAGAGATCTGGCAGAGGAAGAAAGGTCATTTTTCGGAGTACTGCCATTGTCAAATATCATACATATGTTCCAGTTTGCTGAAATAACCCACATTTACTTTTTTTTTTTCATTTTTATGTCAATCAGTCATACATACATACATACAAACAAATTGGAACAAATCTCACAGTCCTTGTTTTGTTCTCTAACAAAATTCCCTTTGATGAAGGACTTCAGGAAGTGGTTCAAATTAATTTTTATTTGTAACATATTTTTTCTCACATAAAAAGAACTAGCTTTGGCTTTCTTATACAACCTCCGTTTACCACAGTTCCTTTGGTTGTATAATGTAGGTCCTCCACAGGGTACTTCTCTGGCTTTCTGTCCTGTGTGAAGCTGCATTTTATTTTAGAGGTTAATACAATGAGTTGCCGTAAGGAAACATGGCAATGAACACGTACGAAAGAGTGGCACACATGAGGTTAATTGACTTGACATTGTAATAACCCTGATCCTAATGAACTAGTTTGGTGTCAGAAGGTCTGTGGTTATACAGAAATTCTGCTCCCACTAATGTATCACTACAATTAAGTTTTTCCAGAGCTTTAGAAATGTCAGGTCTCTGCAAAGTCCTTCCTGCACACTGAGCAAGAGGAAGAGTGAAAAACAGCCGCACGAAACAATCCTTCATTAATTCCACATGAGTAGGGAATTTGCATTGATTCTCATAGTGCTAAACACTGAGCTGTGTTAGGTCTGACAGTTAGAGCTAGACTGATTTTGTGAGACTTAACCTTATACTAAAATGATCTACTTGTTATACACAGTAAGACTGAAGAATGTTAAAAGTGTAATACCTACCATGATAATGAGATATAGAAGATTCCCAGGATCCCCTCGGGGTTAAATAATGTGTAAGAATGATACTTCTTTAAATTTGGAAGCCCTGAGCAGGAGCTATCCTTCGCAGTCATTAAAAAGCTTTGGGGACTTTCCCCAGACTTTTCTCATTTTTACCTTATTATTTAATTCCAGTTTCATAGGATGCAGTTTGTGTTTAATTTCACATTGTCTTTATGAATTCAGCTACAGAGGATTTTTTTATTAACACTTACAACAAAAAGTTCAGTGAGAAACATAAGAGGTGCAAGTCCTATGTAAACAAGGTAAGTTTGGAAATTACCATGAGAAGTCCATAAGAGATGCCTTTGTTATTAAAAATAAACACAAAGTAGGAGATATCCTGAATCTCTAGGACGAGTCTTTTCTTAAGGGTGGGTGATTATCCAGCTCCAGAGCTCATTGCTACTGTAAATATCGATAGACCTTGAAGCAGTGATTTCCAGAGTCTGCGACTACAACATGGCCATCTGAAGTAAGAGCCAGACCTTGGGGACCATAAAGTGGGTCAGCAGAGGTGTTAATGTAGGATAAAAATGATCCACTTCCATCAAAAACCTTTGAGGGTGAGAAAGCACAGAATAAATGTTATTAATAAAAAAGGAAAGTAACAGATACAAGTCTGCTCTCAGACTGTTATAATTTCTGAAACAGTTGACATACTATAGAATAAAAAAGCGTAAAATATGTTCTGTTATCTCATAATATGCAAGACTATATATAAATGTATGTTCTTATTAAAAAAAAATAATTATAGCCGCTAGGATCTTTGGCAAGAATTAACACACAATGAAATAATAATAATAAAAAATAAGAACCTCGGCTGTTCTTGTTCTAAAAATAACCAACTATAATAATTCAAACTTAATTGTGAATTCAACCAACACCTTGTTTTCCTAACAAATATCACTATTGTGGCTAGCCTGATTCTTAGGTTCCCACACAGAGAAAACCAGGAATTTGCTTACCCTGTTGACAGTGCTTCCTGAGAACAACTCATAAGCAGCTCCCTCAGTTTTATATTCAGTGGAAATAATGCATACACTTATTTATTAGGTATTATTTGGCAAACAAGAAGACCGTGTGATTATTAGCACTTAAAAGATAAAAAGAGTACAACTCTCATAACTTGAAAGCAGAATAATTTATCAACATTTAAAAAAGAGGATAAAAATCTGCTGCATTAATCTCAGGTCATTTGCATTTTCATATTTTCCACTATGTCTCTGATCATCTGTTATGGTGATTATAAATTACTATAATCTCAGCAATGCTTGGAAGTCTCTTAAGTCATCAAGTAGCTTTTGGAGAATTACTTGGTCCCAGAATCCTTGGTCATAGTGGCCATCAGAGCTGCCAGCAGCCACACTGAAAAGCTGACAATCTACCACCACCAGGTCTGCAAGAGGACAATGAGGCATATAAAGGATGGTGTGAGAAACCACATCACTTCTAATGTTGATGGTGTTTCTTGGGCAGTCTGAAGGCCAGAGTTAGCAACCCATTATTTTTTTTTAATCAAGCACCTTTGAAATACAGAAATTTTTACCTGTATTCGGCTGTTTCCCCAATCTGCTACAATAATATTTCCATTAGAATCTACTGCTACTCCGGTTGGTGCATTAAATTGCCCATTTCCTTCTCCATTTGATCCAAACTTCAGCATGAACTCTCCCTCCTGGTTAAAGACCTGTATGGGTTAACACAACAACCTAAATATGGCATGGAATCAAGTATTAGTAATCTAGTGCTAGCAGTTCACCTGCTAATTAAACGAGGAATTAAAGAATTCGCACCTAGGCACACACAACCCCAACACACACACACAAGATGGGAGAAAAGGTCCCCATCTCCCCCTTCACTCCATTACACCATATAGCATTTCCCTTCTCACTTAAGATCTGATTTATCTCAGATATGGACGCAAAGAGGCCCAGAATTCTTCTGCAGCTAATGCATCTTGAAATGAAAAGAGCTGAATGCAGATGCAGCACTGGGTTCTTTGTTTCTTTGGAGCTGAAACACAATGGAACAGATGCTCTCTTCTCTGCTTCCATAATCTAACACACATTGCAAATCATGGCATGCTGCTATATGTATACAGTTCAGCAGCAAAATTCTCTGTGATGGTAACAGGTTTAGACAGCAGAAAGATGGAGCTGATCAATGACTGTTCTGTCAGTGACCTGAATGCACCAATAGGACCTAACAAGATACAAAATTTGTCATTTACATAGTACACAGCCATCTCTAAAACATTTTTGCCTATCTTGGATCCAACTGCAGCACAAGGTCCAAGAGTGTTCTTAGAGACCGACTGTGGCTTGCACAAGAAAATGCAAAGACCTGACAAGTGCCAAGTGCACACTGAAGTGCTGATAAGTTGGAAGATGTCAGGGAATTATTATGTTCTCGAACACCCACAGTGAACAGAGAAAAAACATTTGGGGAAGGAAATTAATGAAGTACCAAGTTAGTGCCTCAGATGATTAAAGAAAATAACAATAAAAAAAAGCCAATTAATGAAAAAAATAGACAAAAATATATTGCTTTCTCCCTGGGCTGAAGTGACCAAATGAGAGAGAAGCCTACATTGCACAGGATGCCTGAGGGAAGGAACATCCTTGAAGGTTAATGGGAGAGGGAGAAAAATGTTGCTGAGTAAGCTTGCTTAATTCAGGACACTGGTGGCAGGAAGCAGCTTTGGGACTCATAAGAGTGAAATAAATTTATTTAGTTATTTATAAACGAATTTATTATTTAAAAGAAGATGTACTCTCTGCTCTCAGATTATAAAGTCTCCAGAGTGTCAACAGTTATATGTACCAATTTAGAGAACACTACAGAAATAAGAATCTTTTCCGGTTATTACCAAATTGTAACAAGTAACATTTGTATCCCATTGAGTCACACCAGAGACAGATGGGACACGCTGTTCTCATTAGAAATTTAATAATTACAAATCCTCTAGGACACCACACTTTTTATATTTCTTCACTTGCTTTTTTTCATTTCAGTTTGCACCTTGCTGTTAAGCCTCTCCAGGCATTCTTGTTACCAGGCAAACCTTGCTTGTAAGAGGTAATTTATGGAGTCATAGGCCTCCTGCTGCTTTAGGGCTCCTGCAGCAGAGTCTTGGTTTGTGTCTTGTAATCCAAACCACAAGCTGCTACTTCCTCACCAATTCCAAAAGGATACACAAGTAAGGTTGCTATTCCAGACCTAGGAGATTCAGCTCAGGACACAAAGGTGTCTATGCTAAAGGCAGCAACTTCCTTTTTCGAGTGAATATAAAAAATTTATTTTTCCAATTAGAAACAGTGAAGAACTAGACTGATGGTTCATCTGTCTGTTCAGTCAAAATAGGCATTAGGTGAAATGCCAGGGATATTATTTTGTAGGTGTGTGGGACTGACATACATGTCCTGAGAGCCCAGGTAGAACAACATCCTGCCTCTGTCCTCCTGCTGCTCTCTCCTGTAGAGGGAGGGCACAAGAGCCCACACAGGACGTGTAGGAAAGGAAATGCCTGAGAACACACACACACACACACACACACACACAGGTGAGGCATTTCTGAAGTGGCCTATATCTCCTTCACAGACATTTGCCAACACATCTCAGCATGTTTCCTTGGTTTGGTTTATTACTGGGACAAATTTCCTATAATACCATGACTTTTACCAGGCTTAGAGTCAGGACTTCCCATGAGTGTAAGGACAAGTGGCCAGTTCTGCCCAGTGCAGGAGGCACTGAATGAAAACCAATAATTACATGGGTTTTAAGAGAATGAAGTTGTAAAATGGGTCCAGTACTCTTAAAGCTTATACATATGTAATTTAAAGACTGTTATGTATCTTTACTGTGTTAAAATTTTACAACTAGAAATGTGGAAAGCTTTTACTGGGAAATTCAAAAGCCAGACTTTTAAAGGAAGACAGTACACAGGGTCAATAAGAGGTTTGGTAGAGGGCTACTAAAAATAAGTTAAAATTATTTATTTATGTTTAAGCCAGTGAATTAGAGACATTTATATAGTGACACCAAAGGCAATGGACTATATCTTCACTAAGCAATGCACTGCATGCAAAGTTCTCTGAAAGTGCTGTCCCTATAGCAGAGCTATATCACACTCCTTATATGGACTGTGATCACTTTGGTTTTAACAATACATTGTTTTCCCCAAGAAAGCATCATAATAAAATTAAAGTGGCAACTTTCCAAGCTGACAGTACCTTGACGGAATGGTTATGAAAATCTGTAATGATAATTTCATTGTTGCTGTTTACAGCTGCAAAATGAGGACCTGCAATGCAGAAAAAAAAGAAAAAAAGTAGTAATACCATTAAAATAAAAAGTATGGTTAAATTTAAAAAAAAAAAAATTCAGCCTGCCAGCATATTATGTTTGGCTTCTGAGCAATAGTAGTTCCTCAAGTGGGAATACCAATTTCAAATTAAGAGTAATTTTACTTCATGTTTTTTTTAAAAGCTCAGAATGCTTTTTGTAAACACAAATAATTTCTTTTTCAACCAGTTGTCAGCTATTGCTACCAATAAGCATTGTTGATTTCTCCCTCTCTTGTATACATATGACTATGCAGAAATTTATGGCTTATTAACAAGACAAAACATGAAGTCCTTAAGCATAAGGTTGTGTATACACTGAAAATTGTTACCAAAAATGTTCCTGTAAATTCTTAATTGAAATATTTTATGCACTATGTACTCGCATCTTACAAGCATTTGACTAACAAGTTTTAGGATAAATAAAATTACTTAGAAGACCACTGTCAGGAAAGAAAAGGGCATTTTTTGCTTTACATTGTGTATTGAAATATGTGTGCAAATTTGAGTAAAAAACAAATGGTCACTTGAAAACAGGCAAGTACTCAAATTAAAACACTTGATGTTATTTTGAGTTATTAGCAGAACAGAACTCAGTTTCAGTTTTCACAGTATATAAGGGTAAACTATAAAAAAGTGAAAATTTTTGCATTGAAAACATTCAAGTATTGACAATTTACCTGTCTTCTGTAGCTTATCAGCAAGAACAAGTGATATATTTCTCAAATGCACTGTTAGGAAGTATTTGCCTACTTATTTTCAGGAGGTGTTTATGCAAATTTTCAAATGAAAAGAAATTGAGATACCCAAAAAATTTAGCTGTGTTAGAGCTCAAGCTCTCAAATTATATATATTATGCCATAACACATTGCAAGAGATCTCAGGATAAAAACACATTGATGCTATTCCTCTGTTTCACTGTGAAGCAGTCAAAATATCAGCCCAACAAAACTACATACTAAAAATGACCCAACACCTGTAAAATGACCTGCATACCTAATTTTGCATCTTTATTTCAAATTTTGAAAGAACAGCTATTCACTTAAAATGTATCAGTGGGGTTGTTCTGTTTTTTAAACTGAAATGCATGTTCTACTTGAAAGACAGCATGTGCAAGCAGTCAGTTGAGTATAAATGGCAATTTCCCCAAAATTACACTGGCTGTTCCGTAACTCTGCCTTCCTAATCTCAATCTTAACACTACCCCATTACACTCATTTTCTAAGAGATACCATTTAGGGCATTGGGTTTTGTGTGTTTGGTGACTGGAAAGAAACACAAAGCACAGCATCCGAGTTGATTGTGGTGAACAGCTTAGTGTGGCAATTACAAAGCACTTATAAGATGCTCGTTAGGATCAGTCTTTCTTGGGTCACTGATCTGAAATGTTTCCAGGCATAGGGAGGTAGATGAAACAATCTGGTTACAGCTGCATTTGCAGAACAGATGTTGGAGTCTGCTTGACCAATCAAGCAAATACGAGCTGTATGTCTAGCAGAACCTCTCCCCTGGAGGATAAAGGAGTAGATTACAGCATCTTCAACATGCTCAAACATCATGCAAATGTGAGCAGAAGCGGCAAGAAAAGGGGATTTACATATTACCATCAAGTGTACCTGCAAACTGCTTGTCACCATTTCCTCGACTTCCGAACCTGGTGACTATTTTCCCATTTGGCTGGAAGATGAAGACACAGCATGCTTTATTGTCCACTACAATGATGTGTCCATTACGATCCACAGAAACACCTTTAGGTCCCATGAGCTTTCCAGACCCAATTTTGGCCTAAAAGGGAAAACACGAAACAGGAAAATATGTTGGCATGATAGAAATTAGTTAGTACAGTTTAAAAACTGCATTACAGGCACAGAGACGAATGGAGAGGCATTTTTTCATCAAAAGTTGGAAGCAATATTTTTTGTCAGCTCTTACCATGTACTTCATAATTTTTTTCTCCAGCTCAAAATAAAGTCTGCTTTCTGTATGTCTTTTCTAGACTGAAAAATCTGCAACCTCAGCAACTGAGTCCAAATATACAAATCATAAGAAATACAGTCATCAGATTTGTGTGACTTGACAAACCTGTCAGAAATGCCTGTATATCCAGCATTAGGGTACCAGCAGGACAGGCAGACAAGCAGAAAGGACTTTTGTCTCCTACTGCATGCTGTTCCTGAGTCCAACAACTACCTTGATGGACAGGGAGACATCTTTATCACTGCCTGCATCAAAGAAGTCAGAGTTGTTGGAGCATCAGGGCTGGATGGGATGTAGGCTGTGATGTCCTCTGTTGCCTTTCTTGGGTTAGTAAGACACCAGCACCTTCTGAGTGCTCTCAGAAAGAATTTGAGCAGAGATAAAGCTCAGGCTAACCTCTCTGCCTTCCACTAGATTACACATGAGATTGCTTCACTTTCTGCTTAGACACATGAAGGGGCAGCTGAAAACTGCAAAGGGGAGAGGATCACGTTGCCAAACAGCAAATGAAGCAATCTTTGAAACACTAAACAAATCAAAGCTTGTTCCTGTCTTAGGTAAATAAAATTATTTCCATAATTTTAAATAGGCCTTGTGACTACCTAAACCATCTGCTGACATAATCAGCAACAGGAGGGGAATTGTATACAATATCTCACTGGAAAAATGTTGTTCAGTGGAGATGAGATGGATCTCATAACAGTAAATTATTTGGAAAGGCCAGAGAGCTGTCAAATCCCAAAATGCTAGAAGCATGCTTTAGGAAATTTGAAAATAAGGGATTCTTAAAAGAGGATCTAAGCAACAGAGCAAGCAGAAATTGAGACCAAGCCTTCAAAGAATCCATAAGCTACCTGGGCATGTACCCAAGAAGACTCTAGGATCACCTCACAATCCATTCTGCATTTTTCACCATTCAGCTCTTTTTTAGGCCAGGATTCTAGAAACTGTTTTAATCTACATAAAAGCAGTTAAGATTTGACCTCTCAGTTAAAAAAAGGTTGTCAATACCCAATTGCATTGGAGTGGAGCAACTTGCATCCTGCTTATAGACTTTTTTTTTAAACTGATGGACAGATTTGAAAGCACTCACTCAGGCTGGTTTCAAAAGTCCGTACTGGACAGACAATCCACCAGAGAGGCTGTGTTGAAATTACAGATTCCAGAACTTTCAGATCCTGTAGTAATTTGTGACAGACACATCCTACAAATTGAGGTTCATATCTTGGTGAAGAACATACTTTTCTGTTTGCATAGGAATTTAAATGAAATATACGCTAAGATATTAATCTTATTTAGGAAACAAGGCCACCCTTCACCTCACTGCCTTTGTGAAGTGAGACAGTTCACCCCCCAAGAGCAAGCAATGCTGGGAGTCAAAGAATCATTTTGGTTGGAAAATACCTCTAGGACTGAGTCCAAGCATTAACCTAACACTGTCATATTTACCATTAAACCGTGTTCACAACTACCACATCTACTTCTGACTTCTCTGCCCCTGTCCCCTCCTTTCTGCAATTGGTGAGTAGCAGTGGGATGGATTACAAGGCATTGAGAAAGTCCATTGCCTAACTCATTTTTCTCATGTCCCTGATGTTTGCAAAGCAAACAGAAGGAGCTCTCCTAGCCTTAGTAAGTCCCATACTCCTATTTCACAGTATATTCTCATAGGTGGGGTTGCAGGTAAACAATAAGAATGATCCTAAAATAAAGGCACCTGGGTTCCCTGAGAATGGCTGCTACTAAGCCACTACACAACCTTTTTCAGTCTCCAGTAAAGAAAATTCCAGGGGGTAAATCTTGCAGCTTCAAGACTATGCTTAGCCAACATGCAGTGATCCTGTGTCAGTTTTATGTTCATGTACATATGCTGTAACAAACTGCAAAATATTTAGGCAAAATCTACCTAATTGAATCATGCTAAAATATCCCCAGGAAAAACTATTAAAAATAATTTTGTGTTCACCAGGGGAAAGATATCAGCAGATCTACAAAATGTATTCTGCTTGCATAACAACAAAGCAGCAAAGCCATAAATCAAATGCAAATCTGTAGATGTATTTCCCTTTGGGGTGATTAAATCATATTCCCCTCTTGCTTTGGGATGTCCATGCAGTTGTCTGCTTGAGCATTGCACCACCTCCTTACCATCTTTCCAGGATTCCTATGGAAAATGACTCAGACTCTTGAGTACAGTGTCTTCCTGCCCATATAAACACATATGGAAAAATATAACAAATAAATCACATACTACATTAATGGGCACTCAGTGCTGAGAAGAGTAATAAAAATCACTACTCTTGGGCCAGGTTTAAAATATAATTTGCAAGCAGCAATAAAGTGTGCCCAGCTAGAGTTTGCAATGCTTTTTAGTAAAAATCTGTTCCCAGTTTAGATCAAAATATGCTGATGACACTTACTGGATCTGGCTGAACATATTCTTTGTATATTTTTATTTCAGAAAGTTTCTTAGAATTATAGGTTGGATTATTTAGAACAGAACATTATGAAACCCAGTCACTCCCATTAAGCGTATGAATGGAAGTATTTTCAGGCTTTTTTTCCATTAGAAATAAATATAGTATAATGAATCATGTAAACCCTTAATACAAATAATGTATTTTATTGAATTCAGTCAGGGACATTATGTCCCTTATTTTATAGGCTCTTAGGAATTTAGACTGGTTTTCAAGCACATGTTTATGAAGTTACCCTACCAGGTTGGAAAATATTCTACTCTCAGATATTTCTAGAGGGGGAAAAAAAATCAGCAAGCCTACCTAAAAATTTATGAAGACTTTTCCACTGTAGAAGTAAGCATGTTAGGGCTAAATTTAACTTTACTGATCTTGCTGCTGTCTGAAAGGTTCAAGATTGTCAGGGATTAATTAAAAACATTCAACAAACCATCTTTTCCTGTTTGAGAACTTCTCTAATAAGGAGATGCAGCTTCGTCACACTTTGCAATATCACACAATAAGTGGATTTATCATTCATGGGACTGTCAAAATTCAACTGTGACTGTTTAACCACACTACCTATTCCCATCGGAACATGCAACCAGCTTCAGACAGCTCTTTCCATAATTCTGCTAGTGAGACAAGGAAGGAGTCTGACATATAAAATGTTTCTTTTAATCTTTTTGCACTTATCTAAACTTGATCTTGACTTGCAGAGCCCTGTTTGGTTGATAACAAGCTTGTCATCTTAAATATATATATAGCTCTTCAAGACTAGAAAGAAAACAATCCTCTTCTCAGAGGAACAGGATTCATTCTTTTGGCTCTGTTGTCCAGTTCCTTCACTAGGTTTGAACACCACCTGGTGAGGAGCTGGTACAGCTGCTTCAGCATGCCCTCTCTCTCTAGCCTAGTGCAGTATCTGCTGCAACAGTTTCCTTAGCAATTTCAGAGCACTTGACAGAGGAAGCAGCAATGTTATCTGCCTTTTACAGATGATGAAAATAAAGCACTGGGAAGTGAAATGGAAGATCTCTAGTAACCCTAGTAACTGTGGCACAGTCAGAAACAGAAGCCCCAGATCCTAAGACCCAATCTGAGTCTTTGTCATACCCAGGACAGTACAGCCCTTCATGTGAAGAAGCTCATGTTTTGGTGCAGCCTTAGATTAGAGTTTGCCCACTCTGCATTTATGTAAGTTTTACAGCCTTGAGAAAACAGAACTCTGTCATTTTTGCTGCCAGAACTGAGGAAGGTGACACTTTTCTGCCTGGCAGTGGAAGTTGCCAAGGATGTCAGTCCAGTGCTGTAAACAGGGACATGCCTGGGCCTGGCTCCAGGGAAATTTGCCTTATGGCTCACATGACTATTAAAATTCCACTAAGGGAGAGCGAGTGTAAGTAAATACAGAAGGAAGGGGACAACATCAAAAATAGTTAGATTAAGCTCAAAACAGCCTCCTGATATTGCTGAGTTAACAATTAGCAGGCCATCTGCACCAGAGGTCGTACACAATGACTTGCAGGCACAGTCCTTTGAAGGAAAATGCCCCTTTCTCTCTCTCTGTTATTTCAGCAAGTACTGCCTATTTAATCTGACAAGGCCCCTGTAAGAATTACCACTGCCAACACACAAGAAATTACAAGGCTTTCCCCAGATTCCCACAGGCTAGATCTGTTACAACTATGTTCTGTGCTTCCAATATATTTTATTTAACCCCATCACAGGTTAATATCCTGAGTTGGAAGGGACCCACAAGGATCATCGAGTCCCATTCCTACACCATGATGCCCAATACAAGCCCCATCCCTTCATGGCATAGACTCTCCCCATATCGCAGCCTCACTCTCAGCGGACTGACCTCCCAACCCTGTGTGCTGAGTACAGTGTCTTCCTCTTAAGAGCTCCTCTGCAGTTCCCCCAGGCCCTGTGCTCACCTTACCTGCATCCTTCCTCCCCAGCTCAGTTCTCCAGCTACACTGTGCAGTACAAGATCCCCTGAACCAATGCTGCACCAAGACAGGAGTCCCTACTGCCATTACAGCCCCTCAGTGTGGCCCTGTGCCCATCTGTGTCTCCATCCCAGTGTTCCCACTGCCTCGCTCCTGCCCTCCCCATGCACTTGCTCTGCCACCTGCCCTCCACCCAGCTCCTGCACTTCGCTGCTTAGGCCTACTCTCTGCATAAAAAAAAATACTTCTATAAACATTTATTTTTCCTTTCACAAATGTGGCTTATTGCATCCAATCTAAAAATAGTATTTTATACCATTGATGTTTCATCTCTCATTTAATCAGTCTAGTTCCAAGAGCTATGAAGTCTGATGCATTAATTTGTAATAACCACACAAATACTGCTAACATCACACAGCTTTTGCATTTTTTTTGCAATCCAACAAAAACACTGACTGACAACAAATCTAGGCTTTACATGAGAGGACCTACATTAATAATTATTTTTTCCAATACCTGTCTCCCTGCTGGTAGTATATTACACAGAGGGTCCTGGCTTCTCCAGAGCTTTTTCCTCCAGAGCTGGCACCATTCAAAATGCTGGATTTACAGCATATATTAAGGAGGCAGGAAAACAAGCCCTCCATGCTCTGAGTCCAGTTCACATTAAAGATGTTAATAATTATTTAAAACACACCTAGCATAATCAGAATATTTGGATTCTTAACTAAATCACATATTTCTTTGGGTTTGTTTTGGTGTTTTTATTTCTTTTAAGGACCCCAGCCAAAACTAAGGTTTTCCTATGTAGCTGTACGCTTTTAAAATTACTTGACAAGTAAAATCACATTCTCTCTGCAAATGCAAGTAATTTGTAATTTTCTTTACCACTTGCATTACATTTCAGTATTGTTTTATTTTAGCTTGGAGTCTATACATGATCTGGATACTTCTAGAAGTGTACACACTGGTTTCTCAGATGGAGGTCACTAAGGACTATGCAAGCACAATTACCTATTTGCATTTATCAATTTACAAAGACTGTTTAGAGAAGGGCCATTTCTTGCTGCGCACATGAGCAGCTCAGAACCTGAGCTTTTTTGGTCTCTAGGCTGTCAAAAAATTAGCTAAACAGGCTGTATCTGTCCAATGCAGGACTCCAGAACTAACTATGGTAGAAATTTCCTTGCAGGTCCATTATCCCCATGACCAGTGAATACTTCTTGCTTCTGCCAGAGGTGGCTCTCTCTCCATCACTAGACTTGGTATCAAGCATTCAGGGAACAGCAACAAATGGAGGAAATCTTTAATTCTCTCTAGAACTGCACCTGAACCTAAGAAAAATAAATGTTGCAGGCTGGAAATCAGTGTAGTGTAGTAGCTGGTGTCTTATTTTATTCCCATTAAAGGGATTAGAGTTGCTATGAAAATATGAGGCTACTTTCCTTAGAATTTCTGATTTCTCAAACCTACAGTAATGATACTATTCATTCAGTTTTTTCAGTGTACAACACACCAGCTAAAACACTCCTGTCTATGCTGTAGCACTGAAAAACACCCTGGGTTACCCGTCCTTGCTTTTATTACCAACAGGACCATACATAAATCATACACTGTAATTGTAATTGAGAAGTATGGAATAAAAGAGGAGGTCATCATCAGTCAGCAACCTTCTTTTTCTTCTCCATATGTCACTGAAGAGCTTCATGTACTCCTTGTAAGATTTTGTGTTTGTCTGTGTGCATACATATATCTGCACACACCCTTCTGTACAATCAGGGTACTAATGATGTGAAGGTTGTTGAGCTAGTCCAACTAGCCTTGCTGGCACTTGCTATCCTCAACCATAAGTTACAGAAAGGCATCTAAGCACCCAGTATGGAACATATTGTCTCTGCTTGGTGTAACATTAGCATTACTGCTGTGATCTCCTCCTATTAATTATACCATGTGTCCAGGTCAGGGGCTTCCACATCACAACAATGGAATTTAGACTAAGCTACAGCCAAACTATGTAGTTTCTTGAAAAACAATGTTACTTTGCATTCCTTTGTAAGACAGAGAAAGCTCAGGAGAATTCACATAGTAACTCGTACCTTAAATTTTCCATCTGATGAGAATATGCTAACCCATTTGTTATCATAGTCTGCAATAATGATGTCACCACTGGGATGCACAGCCACTCCTGTTGGCCGCTGCAGCTGGCCAGGAGACCTTCCTCGTATGCCAAAACGGCTTTTAAATTGACCATCATTGGAAAATATCTGTAATAGAAAACAGGAAATTTAAAATAATGTCCACATATTACCATCACCTATTTCTTGGAGCTTAGATTTTAGCAAGTCACTAACCAACACTGTAGTCAGGAAGAGAGCTAGGAACATGAGTCACTTTTACACAGTCCATATTTGAAAGCGATGGAACTAACTTAAGAAGACTTAATTTCAGAAGAAAAAAAAAAATCTTATTATACTGTTTTTTCAGTGATCTCAAAGTACTTCACAAACATTAATGAATTAGCTTCACAATATCTCTCTCAGGGGGGAAGGAATGGTATTATTTCCTTACTAGAAATTAGGAAACTGAGGCACGGCCACAGTCAAACACTAAGTCTGTAGAAAACATAGGAATATGTCCACTGGTTCTGTCCCCAAGCCTGGTAATCAGACACTGAAGTTCCTCTGAGGAGGCTGCAAATTACAAAGCATGAGGGTGCTGATGAATATTGGATTCTGTCTCTTTGAAAAGGCCTGGAAATGAGTTCTCACGACATGTGCCTTGCTGGTTCTCCCATACAAGAACAAGTGACACTCCACTGCTGCTGTGTTCATTTCTACCACATGGCAATGGAGAGTGATGGCAAATTGTTAATGGTAAAAAGGATATATGGCAAACAACAGAAAAAATGCAGCTTGGTTTTCACACAGGTTACAGAAGCCAAGAAATTATGGATGTCGAGGTGCTACAACAGAAAAGATTTTATTATGATATCAGAAAGTCAGTTAAATAGACTAAAAGCCACTTGGAAATGACATCTACTTTTTTTTTATTTGTACTTCCCAAAAAATTTTATTTGTGGCACCTTGCTCTAGATTTACATTTGAAAGCATGAGTGATAAAAATTTACAATGTAAAATTATATTAATATAAAGTCATTTTTCCAGATTATTGCACAACTTATTTTTTCATTCATTGCCAAACATCATAAGGGAGGGAAATAAACTGATTATATATTAGATATAGTATATCTGAAAAAGATAGCTGCAGGTCAAGAAGATGGAAAGTTAATAGATGATAAATTAAGCCTCCCTTGTATTTTCTTTATCTGCCTGTATTGTACAAAACGTGTCTTTCCGAGACTTCAAAAAAGGGAGAGGTGTGGGGGGCAAGGAGAAAAACACTGAAAGTGGCATATTCTCATACCTGCACACACTGGTTGTTACTGTCTGCTATTAATATTTTTCCATTTGTAGATGCAGCTACACCTTGAAGATTTGTAAATTCCCCTTTGTTTCTTCCTTTGGTGCCTAAAATTGAACACAAAGCACATAAGAAATCAAGTTAGACAGGACTAATCAGTTAGGACCCAAATGCCAACACATGCAATTATTACATTTCTGATCAAACGATTTCTATTTTGAAGAGTTCTTCTCACTGCTACAACTTCAAAGAACCTCTCAGTAACAGATACACAATTCCACCAACAAGACAGGATTGTTTAAGGGACTGTTCTTGCTCTTCAGCATGTGGCACCCAAGCCCCCATTAACATTAATTGCCTCTTCAGCCTTCCTAAATCAGTGCTCACAAATTGCCTTTTGCATGAGGGAAGAAGTAAAAGGTTTTTACATAAGCAATGGACTTATTTAAACTGCAGATTTTTATTCTATTGAAAGCGGGAGTACATGGGAACATACAGAGAGAGGCTAAGATAAGAACTCGGAGAGATGACATGGTTTTAGCTAAGTCTCCTCAGTGAACAGATGGGATAGAACATATCACTTTGGATGGAGATGCTTCAAGACATGGAAGTTTCCTATTCCCTCATATATTGTTTGCAGTCATAGGCTTCAAAGATTCCCTTAGCAGGAAAATTCAGATGAAGAACTAGCTTTGAACGAATGGGACTTGTGGGCCAATGAAGACCAACACCTGGAGACTGCTTTAGGAGAGATCTTGGATTGTTCTAATAAAGCAATGTCCACACACACACAAGTCTCATTTTAAGCCAGGATAAATGCACTCATGAGTAACATAGAACTGCAAGTCTTTTACCTGGTGGCTTAAGGTGATAAGGAGTTGTAAAATGTCATTTTTTCACAGAAGTTCATTAACTTTAAGTGGCTTATTACTTAGATGTTTGCTCTGAGACATTCCAAGGGGCATCACAGAGCTAAATGGTGTCTTTAAAAGACCAGCCCCAAAGTGGCTGGTCCAAATTACACCTGGAACACAGGAACAGGATCCAAATCCCTGATTTGTTTGTACAGGAGGCTCAAGGATCCTTAGAAAATACTCCAGTTATGATCTTGGACTCCAAGGTTATTCATAATAAATGAAGGAATCCTGAAACAAAACAAAAGAAGCCCACCAAACAACCACCAACTCTGTAAGCTGTCCTTTCTGAGACATGGATACAGTGCTGTTTTTTTCCTGGTGAAATATTTTTACAAGCATTCACTGGCTGTGTATCAGGCATTAATTGGTTACAATAAATGGTTTTAACTGAAAAACTTGTATTTAATTTTAGTCAGTCCAAAATATTCTGGAGCACAGCGATTCAAACTGTTCTGACTGTGATGCCTAATATAAGATATATATATCAGCTCTAATTTGTATTTAGCTTTCATCAGGGATGTGAATGCTTGTAACAACCCTTCTTTCTTCTGTGGTGATGGCTGTGGGATGCATATTTCCTGTCACTGGCTAACAAGTAACATTTAATTTCTTGCACTCAAAGCTGCAGGAATGTCCCTTTGTTTCAAGACTTATTTTCTTCATCCGCTTCATCCTCTAAACAAGGCAAATGTTTCTAAGTTTTTGTACTGAAAGGGAAAAGTACATATCCAGGGAACAGTGAGTTACATACCCATTACATTACCCATACTTGAGCCATTTCTGCTATTCTTTTAATAAGCAGTGCCTGAGGGATGCATGCAGCAATTTTTTTCCACCATATGCTAATGATAAGTTTCCTTCTTGCTTCTTAGCCAAAGAGAATGGATGAAAAGAGAGAAACATTCCTTTTACTACTGAGAGTAAAGGGAAAACATTTGTTAGAAAAGAGGAGGCATAAGCTAGAGCATCTGGAACTAACTAACAAACTTTATGGAATGTATGCTCTTTAGCCTTAGAAAAACATTCTTGGAAGTCATGGAATTTTATTTTTAAAGATAAGAGACACCTATATAAAAAGTTACTCAAAGCATTCTCCAGTGGAACCTTGTAAATATACACCAAAGGAAAAACTGAAGAAATTGCCCAGGAATGTCATAGTCACGTTTCACAGTAAGTTTAAGAAATAGCAAGTTATTAGCACAGTGTGTAGATGAAATTCAGCTTAATGCAATGTCTTTGTATCTGCACTTTGCAGGTATTAAATCTATCACCTAGCTCCTAATGTACAGGCCCTTAGACAGCCCCCTCTGCAATGGCAGAAATTCCTCTACAGAAGAAAGCTTACTTCCTAATGTATGTTCAAGAGGAAATCAGATAACTTTGAACTTTCCATTTTGAATAATTCACCATGCCAGCAAAGATCTGAAGCCAAGCGCAGGCACCTGAGATGATGAGAGGAAAGCCTGTAGGAAAGCACGTCAGCCTCTGGAAAAGCAGGCTTTTGCTACTGACTCTGCAATACCAAAGGATGATAGCTCTCCTCTGTAAGCAGAAATTCCTTCCTTATGAACATACCTGCCTAACAGAGAGTCTTCAGCAAATCTTTCACTGCAGGATACTACCCCCTCCGTATCAAAGCATTTCATGTTTTCTCTTCTCTCCATCATGGACAGTGCCCCATCCCTCCTTAGCCTAGAGAGGCACCAACATTTCAATTGCACAGGGCTGGAACCAGTAGGAGCCTCATTCCAGTGCTTCCCAAGCAATCTGGTTAACAGATGAAAGCCTGCATCTTCTGTGCCCGTTGTTGCCCAGCTTTATCTCCCTGCACTTCTGAGTTACTGCAGGGCACAAAGGAGGAAAAGACAGATTTTACTGCAAGCTGCTGGGGATTGGGAGAAAAAAAAGGAGAGATTTCAAAAGGAGAATACTGAACAGAAGCAGATCTATGGCCGGTGGAATATCTCCTTTTATACCATTTTTGTATACAGGTAATGATCAATTTTGTTCTAGCCCTATCTAATTCTTTCTGGTTTTACTGAGCATAGCCTGCACAAACTAATTAATTTAGGTCTCAACAAAGTATGCATTTCCTGCTCAAGACTATTCTAGCACACATAAAATGACTCATAATTCAAATCTTTTACTCTTGAGCAATAGACGTTATACTGAGTCTTACCAAAAAGAAGAAAAAAAAATCTAAAAGCCCATTAACAATGATAGGAGATGTTAAAAATAACATCATGTAACTGTAATAAGAACCTGCTCTTTACTTCCTGGGATTCTGAACAAACTTGTATATTTTTGATGCTCATAGTAAGAGGAGTGTTTTTTGCTTTCCAGGTTTTACTAATATAAATAATAATCCCCCTGCCTGTTAACCTAGATTCCCCAGCTTCATAAAACAAAGAAAAAACATGTCAGTGCCTCCAGGAGGAAGGGAATAGATTCAGAGAGATAAAATCAAACTGCAGAAATATTACAGATTATTGGGAAGACTTAAGAGGTTGTGAGTGGCCACAACCTGTTGTGTAGGTACCATTTCCTTCCTGCCTACAGCACTGAAAATAATTTTTATTGGACTCTTTCCTATGTAGTACAGAAAAAAAAAGGGTAAAACTAAACAGCATGGAAAGGTCTACATACATACTGCATAGACAGGCACCAAGGAGTTTCCTTGTTTCCCAGCTTCCTTTGTTTTCCTCAGAGTGCCAAAAGATATTTAATCAAAACTTACACATTATGAGGCTGTGATGCCTCCTCTAATAATAGATGCAGCTGAAATGCAAAAGTCTCTGTAGTAAAACTGCACAGAATTTTTAACCCTATGTGTTTGCTCTAAAATGAATGTCAGTCTTTCTAATCCAAGTTCCCAAAGAACCTTAAGTTTTAAAATCAGCCAGTCTGTTGTTTGAAGGCACACTGTAGCTTTTAAAGAGAAACAAATAATTCAGTAGGAACTGTGGCAGTCATGTCCACACACTGTTGGTAATGAAGACGGATTGATTTGTGTTAATTTGCTTTACACAGCATCTGCCCCTAAAAGCTTGGCCAAGACCACCTCCAAGCCCTGCTCATGCAGCAGAACCCCTGTCACCACAGAAGGTACACACAAGCCCAGGGGTAAGAGCAAATCAGAAATTCTTTGCTGCCACAGCAGCCAAACCTCAAATAACAAGAGCCAAATCCAGGCTAAGTCTCTGCTGTCAGCACATCAGAACTATGCTGGGGACTTTGCCAGCATTGTAGCATCAAGAGTTCTTCCCTCCACGTCCAATACAGGTATGACTGCAATGCAATGCAGGCCTGGCAAAATGCCACACTGACCATCACAACCCCACAGAGTTCACAATGAGCATCAGAGGGATTGGAGCTAATAAACAGGAAAAGGTATTTTCCCATTACTAAGCATTAATATTTCTACAGCAGGAAGGCTTGACCAGATGACTGAGTGTGGTACCTTCCAACCTTATTTCTTTTGTTATTCTGTGAAACACCCGATCAAGAATCCCTTTTCTCCCTCTAAGCCTTAAAAGCCTAGTGTTTTGCACTAAAGCTATGATTGCATAGACCTTGTTTGTAATTTTTTTAATGCAAATTCACAGTAAGGCTTCTATTTGCTTTCAGCATTTATAATAGACCAGAAAATGACATCCACACCTAGTAAGAAGGCTGACAGAAATTCTGTTAAAGGAAATTTTTTTTTACACATTAATGTACCAGCTAAACTTAGATGCTCAGTTACATGACTGAACAGACAACTACACAGTCTAAGGAAAATTGGAACATTGAACTTTCTACCAGAGGGCAAACTCTCCATCTGGCTGTATCTGATGCCAATTCCAAATATAAGTAAATTAAGAGATAAAAGTAGTTAAAGTGGGAAATAGCACCACTACTGCTAAATGGTGTCAAAGAATCCAGTCACAAAAAGTGCCAAAAGAGGAAAACCACTAAGGCACACAGCACAGCCTGGCAGAGCTAGAACACAAGATGGGGTCCTGGACAGAGCAGCTGATGACAACCATGCCTCTTAACCCTTCTCTGAAGGACATGGAAGAGACTTAGCAGGGAAGGGGGAAGTGGCTCACACTGTGAACACCCCTCACCTCTGCTCAGCATGAGTATAACGCACAAAAGCAGGGTAATGAAAGAAAGACTTCCCTCTCACTTTAGTGCTTCCTACCAGTGCAGTTGTCGAGGGTAGCAAAACCATTGGGCAACAATTATTTTCTAAATTATCATAAGAATATTCTTGTTTGCATTTTTATAGACTTAAGGACATGCTATGCAGATCTGCATGGACACACTCTTAGAGAGTACACCTGTTTAAAAAGAATAGTAAGCTGAGGATATAAATAGTTGAGAGAGAAAAAGAGAATGCAGAAAATACTCTGCTGTTGTAAATAATGAATTACACAAATGTATGAATGTGTCATCAATAATTTGACCTTGGACTGTCTGAAGAGAACCACATGCAATTTTAAAAGCCACAAATAACACAGCATTTGCAGAAGATAAAATGCACACATCCCCATGAACAAAACACACTAATGTTATATTAATGCCATCTCTTGTCAATACTAGCAGGAGAACAATCCCCTGCTAGCAGCTGATCAATTCACTTGTGCATAAAAGCCCATACATCAGCACACATACAACAGCACACTCCACAGACTTGGATGCCCAGAGGAATATTACAGTGTGATTCTCCAACACAGATGTACAAGCTTCTGGCAGGCCAAATAGAAAATTTATCTTGCCCAGTTTAAAATACAGATCCAGATTTGGCCAGGGCCATTGGAGGAATTCAACAATGGGTTCAAAATAGAGAATACAACAGTAGTGTTGGAGAATAGTGATAAACTTTACATTACCTCATCAACAAATGAACAAAATCTTAACTTTTTGAAATGAGCTGAAACTAGAAGTAAATTAACTCCATGAAAGCAATCCTTGTAAAAATGTCAGAAGTTTTACCTTCCTCAATAATTTTGCATATTTTGGAAGAGTATAAAACCCTAGAGCATCGCAGCTGTGACCTTTCAGACAATGCATACATAAGCCCACAGAAGCCCAGAGGAACATCTCCATGCAGGGTCATTCTGTGAAATGAGTGGCTGAAAACTGAACAAAAAATATTACTCTCAAGTCTGCTTTTTCTCTAAAATAGTGATCCATATATCCCAAATGTGGACACTCAAAGACATTTCATGGAGCAAAAGCTCTGAGACATGCATAGCTCTTGTTCTAATAAAATACATCTTCCCGTTTAGAGTGGTGAAAAAGGGGAGAAAGTAGAACTCAAAAATAAAGCACATGGCCATGATTGCATTACAACAGAACTAAAAGGCTCTGCATTTCTGGGAAAACACTTAAGACTTCCAGAGTGTGTGGTGTGTTGGAGAGAGTAGTTTTAAAAAACCACCTAACAAACAACACCACTACCAACAAAAGCCAAACCACACCACTATTTAGTAGCCAAGCCAGAAACTGCTCACTAGAAGCAAGGGATACAGAAGCAGAAATTACAAACTGAAATTACTTTAATCCATACCAAAAGCTTTGTAATATGAATATTAATGATTTTTAAAATATCCCAAATCAAATGTATCCATTTCTCAACTAAAATCCCAAATAAATATTTGCTGCAAACTATTTTTAAAGTGTGTACTTCCAAAATGTACATATAAACAAAAGTCAAGAGGCTTAATGGTATCATCAAGTTGCTCTACTTACAGGTTTAGCTTTACAATAACTAAACTTTTTCATTCAGTTTCCCTGAACTATTTCTAAGTATGTCAACAGGCAGCCAAGTCACCTACCTATTCTGAAGATCAAATCATCTTCAATGGGATTCTCTTTTCTTTTGCCAGTGCTGTACATGCTTGCAGGTCTTTTCACAGCTTTCTGCTTCACATGACCACTGCCTGGAGATTTAACACGTCTCTTAACACCTTCAGTGGTAGGAGACACATCTGCTGACCTGACCACTTTAAGTTTGAATGGGCTGCCCTTGATATGTTGATCATAAAGTCTCAGTGACAAAGTGAAGTCCCCTTCTTTCTGAACAGTATACAAAAATTCATAAGTGCCGTTTTTGTTGTCAAGTATTTCTCCGTCCGCTACACTCCCATCAGGCGTGCTCAGTTCAGCAGTGAGGTAAGCATTGCCAGATTTACAGAGCTCCCCATCTTTGTCCTTGGTCGTGATGGTAACGGACATGGGCTGTCCGATCACCGTCTGCCTCAGTCCCTCACCGGTGGCAACTGTTTCAGAGGCAACGGCATTGGTGGTTAAAATAGTCCCCAGGTTGTGAATGGACTTCTTCAGGCCTTCTGTTTCCACTATAAAGTCCAACTGATCATTTTCTCGGGGCTGCAGCGGGAAGTCCCTCTCGGCCAGTTCATTCAGCTTGTCACTCATCTGCTTCTTCACCAGCAGCACTTCGGTTTCAGTGCCATGGTTGAGGGCTTGGGCTGTAAAGTTGCTGCAGCTTTTAATGCTTTCCTGTCCTTCTAGTAAGGTATCCAGCTGTGTCTGGAGGACCTGTGTGCATTACAAAACACCAGATTAGCATCACGTTACAAGACCTATCCCAGGAAGATGTAGCATCTAAAGGTCTTTGTAGGAATCAAATTTATAATGTCTTATTCTAGAGTTTAATTTAAACCTTCATTTTAGAAGAAGTAGAACACTGATCGCCAATCTGTATTTGGAATACAATGCTGCAACACAGAAAAATACCCTGGTTTGGGGGTTCAAGACTTTAAGACCCACAGTCACACTAAATTGAATTATTGTCCTATTTGTCTTGTTTTGTTTGGGTTTTTTGGTTTTTTATGTTTTGTTTTGGGGGTTTTTAGTTGGTTGGTTTTGGTTTTTGAGCAAAAGCCCAGCAACAAATGTAGAAGTTTGAACCCTGCCCCATCTCTCAGCAGCCACAGTTAATGAGACAGTTACTGGAACTGAGTTGTGTTCACAGATGCAGAGATATTTTGCAGTCATGAGGTCCATTAATAAGAGGCTGCAAGAAACTTCTTGATACTTCTTGATACTCGAGAGCCAAGGGAATCTGTGGGTTACTCCTCTGTGGAGATGAAGGCCTCAATACCTGGATGCACATCCATCCTGAGGAAAAGGGGGATACCTGAACTAAATAAATGAAGAAAGAAAAAAAAATCTTCCTAGCAGAAGGTAAATTGATTACTCACTTTCAACAGGCAGGAAAGAAAAATATACATACTGGGTTGTGGGTAGTGGAAAGAGCTGGACTGAGTAGCCAGAAGTTGGTGAGCAGCAAGTAGCCACTACATATTTCAAACTATGAAAGAACTTCTATTATTGGGTCAGTTCTGGCCCTCAGTGTAAAATCCTCAAAACAGTATTGACCTCAAAATTGCTAGGTGTGGGCTGGGAACAGGGCTAACTTTTTTTTTTTTTTTACAATTTTGCAATGAACTGGAAAAAAGGGTCCCTGAATTACAGCAACCTAGCAGGGACATTCATGATAGTCAAGAAAACATTGCAACTGCCCAATCTCCACTGATAAAATCCCCAAATGAAGGTAGTCAGTCACACAGTTGGTATGTTTTTCCTACATAGAAGAACTATGGCACAGACATGACTGCATTATAGAAGTCATTTTCTTAACCATCAATATAAAGTAAATATTTTTGAAACATTTCAGTTTATGTGAAGTAAACTTAAAGACTGGGTGTATTTATTGCTATCAAATACTTCTCCCTTGCCGAGATACACTCTGCAATGACACTGAATTCTGAAGGCATTTTTTTCTGAATTTTCCAAAGCTTTAAGGTTTTCATCCACTGGAGAAAATCCAGGCTTATGTGTTACTGATATAGGAAAGAGATAGCAACACAAAATATTTTGCAATTAAAACAGAATGAACAAATTTCAAGACTACACTGAAATTTCAAGTCACCTGCTTTTCTAGGCACACAGAAACTTCTCAGGATGCAATACAAGGCATTTCTAATCTGTTTGTCTTCATTCAAAGACATAAGCAGTTAAAAGAGAACATAGCAAATAAGGTCCCAGGATGACAAAACCCCATATGCTTCAGATAACAGGCCACAAACTAAAAGAAAGACAATTTGCAACTATGTTTTAAAATCAATACTTTCTTAAGACAGTTTTCCTTCATTATAAAAATGGAAAATATTAAATCCTAACATAAATAATATTTAAAATGCATGTAGAGTACTTTACATCTTACACTCTTTCAGTCCACTGGACAACAAACTGAACTGCCAGCTTTTATTTAGAAAAGGATAACCCTTTAATTTTTTAAAATATATGATGAGAATGATTGTATTTGCAGGATTACTAGGCATTCAAAAGTAAGAGCCAATTTCAGTTGGGGGATTTTTATACAAACATAGTAGATGCCTCTTTTACTGTTTATGTACAAGTTCATAAAAATTTGATTCTCTAATGCTCACAGTTATTAATTTAAATCTCTTTAAACAACAGTAAGATAATTAAACATCATATTCTATTTTGTGTAGATTTTGTACACATACAGAATATATTTGCTTGCTATGGAACTAAGTGTTACATCTTGAATATATTGTGACATCATGAATACATTTAAATTAACCCGAGATCTTAGTTGACATTATTGATGCTCAAACTTCTGTAAGCTGCTGCTTAGCTCTAGATATGACTAAATTCTGTGCCCCAATGGTTTTGGGCCCCCAGTGTTCCTAAAAGTAAGTATCTTGTGCATGTTAGAATTCCTCCATTTCCACAGGCTCTGCAGTTCAGCACCCTTCTAATGATCTAAAAACATCTAATGATGTTTTCAAGCCTATTCAACATCCAGAAATGCAGCATTCCTCCACTTCAGACATCTGGAGATACTCAAGCTGCTCAGTAATGACACAGTCGAAACTCCAGTTATTGATGGTATTTTCTTTTAAAGGCAACTTTCATGGAGAAATCTTTCTTTATAAAGCAGAGAACTGATGCACAGGAAAATAAGGACCAAATTCTTTCATTATCCTGATTCAGACCTAATAATCCTAAACAAAATCTCTACCCACCAGGCTACAGACTTTGCTTTGTAAAAGTACAGGTTTCTGTTTTCTTCCTCTGAAGCTTAGTCTACAATACAGAGGGAAAACCACTCAGATAGAAAGTAAAAGAGAGAATACAGCTCTGCAATCTGTTACTCTCCTCATTCCCCTAAGAAAGTGAGATGTCACTCCAATCCTTTTGTATTCCAACAGGTGACATCTAACATGAAATAGCTTACCAAGCACTAGAAAGAAAAACAGTGCTTTGAAGCAAAACAGGCAGTCTTAGTCAGTTCTTCAGGACAAATTGTTTGGACTGTATCTTCATGCTCATCTTATAAGGCTGGGCACCCACAAGTGAGGTTCTGCAGCACCTGATTTCAGGAAAACAAATTTCTCTGGGTCTCAGACACAATTTGTGAAACTGGCATCCTGCATCCTTTGTAAAAACTGGCTGATTAAATTAACAGCTTTGCATTGAAACAAAACATGCATCTTACTTTGTGTTTAAGGCCATAATTCACTTCCAGCTCCATGAGCAGCACGCTCTTTCGCACATTTAAAGTCTTCTGGAGTTCATCAAAAGTGGAATGAATGTCATCTACGATGCTAGCCTTTTGGTTGGTTAACTGGTGTATGATTTCAGATATAAAATGAAGTGCTGAGTCAATCTCTGGAAGCCTGAGGGAGGAATTAAATTACAAAGATTGCTGTTACAAAAGTCGTTAAACATTGGCCCTTGCCCTGGTATCTTTTGATTAAACCCTCTCATCAGCAGGCTGTCTTTAAATATGGTCATTTCCCAGAAGTAAGTTCATTCCTTTTATAACCCACACAGTGGGTCTGGTCTGATAAAATAAGGCTAAGCCACAGTCCTCCCCTGTGCAAATCCATTAGACTGTAAGCATTGCTAAAAGTGAGGCCTTGGATCCTCTGTCCTTTATGCTATATATATATTCAAGAAGATATACCTAGATTTATCCCACTTTTACTTTTTTTTTTAAGCAATTTTGCACCATAGTGTTTGAACCAGTCTTTTCAACATCCAGCATTATTTATTTAGCTATTAAATTGGACATTAATACTATCCATGATTGGACAGTAGTTTCCTCCTTTGCATTTTATGCTCCTTCTTTGCACAACACTTGCATTTCTAATGGCCTCTGTTTTGTGAAAGACAGGAATCTTTTACTCTTTTTGCTAACCCCTCAGTACATCCCACTCAATGGATTTTTTGTCCTTATGCTAGCCTCACTATCCCCATTTCCTAGGTAAACACCCATGGAACCAGCACATTAAAACATCTACGCTGCTCAGCACAGGAAGCTAGTAATAAGATTGAAAATGGAAAACAGTCAGTGGAGTCTCCATACCTTTTGTTGACAGCATCCAATTGAACCTGGAGGGAAGCCTTGTGTTGCTCCACCACATCCTTTAGTGGTACCGTGGGATGCTCTGCGTGTTCTCCCTCTGTGCACTCCCGGCACATGGCTGTCTCACAGGACTGGCAGTAAAACTCCATCACCTGGAAAAGTGCACAATTCTGCACTCAAACATAGCAGCAGTAACACAACTCAAAGCACATCTTACTGAGTCTTGAACTCATTCATTAGCCAAGCTCTGAGACAAAGCTTCTGTTTTCTTATGCACCAGTAATTTACTGCTAAAAGATGGCCATTATTCTTACATATTTTATATCAACATGCTCATTTAAAAGCATTTTATTCTATCATAAAGTGTCAGAACAGCAGCCTGTGAAGAACACTGGACATCATTGCTGGTCTTAACATCATCTTTATACTGTGTAATAGTAAGTTTATCTTACGTACTCCATGAAACAACTCAAAAAACAGGCATTCAGCTATCCTGACTAACTCAATCCTTAGTCTTCCCATAGGGTCTGCTAAAGAAAGTGTAAACTTAGGCCGTATTTCATAACAGAGCCACTCTTGCAACACAAACTCAATGGAAATCACCAAACAGCAAGTTTACTTGCTAGAGGAAAGCACCCTAAATGAATCAACATGCTGCAGGGAAAAATCTCCGTATCCCATTACTAATCCCTTAATGCCTCATATCTGAGATTGTAATTGGAGTGCTGATCTACACTTGAAAGAGGAGGAGATTGTTTCAACCTGTTAAGTACCCAGCAAGATGTTCTTTAGAGATAGAAATAGATCCTTACATGTAAAAGATAACCCAAATTCTAAATATATTCATGAAGGGAAAGAAACAGAGAAGTCCTGTGCCCAAAATCACATGTTAGTCAAAATAATGCACATGTATGCAAATTTGGCATCAGACTTTCTTTTGCAGCTAGGAAGTCCTTGGGCACAAAGTATTTTAGGCTTATTAAAAAGGATATAAGGAAGTTTTAGTATATGCTTCAAAGCAAGACATTGGCAGCTCTTTTGCATTCAGAGCACAGCATCAGAATCTTGAATAATTCAGCTGATGCTTCTGGCACTCGGAGATCTTTCACAAAGATGGTTGTGCTGGAGTTGTTGGTTGATGAGATGGTTGTGTAGAACCAGCTGTTCTCAGGTGAGCAGTGGGATTTGTAACAGAACCAGTGCAAAATAGCTGGCTGCTCTGAGGCATCTTGAGAATTAAGGAGGGAGAAACAAGAACCATGATTTACATGTGGCTGTTAGCATTAATAGGGATTTTCCTCTGATAAGCTCCTTTACATCTTATTCCCATTCTTCCCTCTTATCTCAATTCACAAAATATGGGATTCACATGCAGTGAGGGTTTAGTCATTTGTCAGTCACTAATATAAGCTGAGAAAATTTAAAAGTTGATCCAAATAACCTGTGTAACATCAAATAGATCAGCAACAGGAAAAAAAGAAAGTAGACCTTCAGAACAATGTCAACCCTCATGAACACTACTCCAGTCACTGTGAATTTAGCAGTCTCATTGTAGCAGATCCTCCCAGGCCTGACAGTTACCTTGGTAGGCACTGTGATGTGATGCATTCTTACAGTGCATAGAGGAAATCAGTTAAACAGAGTTTAGGATTTAAGTTCTTTTCAAAGGTTTCAAAAGCCTGCAATCAGAAGCAGCCAAAAAGAAGAATATTTTAATAGGAAACTCTGTAATCTTCTTGTATGGCCAAAAAATTAATTCATTTATTTTGCATGAGTGTCCAAAATTTATCTTTCTGCCTCTTAATAATTTAATACTTAGGTTCAAGATATTTCAACAAGCCCTTTATTTATTTATTATTTTTATCTTTGGATACAGTGATTAGAATAATTTAGTATTTCTGTTTTCTACTGACTACCCCATAATAAACATCATTGTATTTGCAGCAACATATATAAGAAAGGAAGCATCTCATTGGCAAAAAGGTTGTTCAGCCTAAAAAATTTTCTTCCTCTTTATTCAAGCATCAGGCAAACACAGAAATTCAAATGATAATAGCAAACACATCATAAAGACACAGTGTGTATCTCTCTATAGAAATAGTTGTCTTTGACTCAAATTCAAAATGTATTGAGAGACGCAGCTTTTATTTCCCACTATAGTTTTTGTATGTGCATAGATGAAGGAGAAAGAAAACCTAATAATACAATTCAGGCTTCAACTGTCTAGATAGGCTGATTTCCTAAGATTTTTTTTTCTAGCATCTCTTAGGCAAGACTGATTTCTAACTACAGACAGACAAGTACCACTGGCCTTTTCTCTCTCCCCTCTGTGCCCAATGTGGGCATCACATTTTGTGACACTCCCAGAAAATTTTTCATTGCGACAGGTTTGCCTTACAAAACATCTCAGAAAATGACATTTGCCTCTACTTTCCAAATACAAGAGAGCTCTTGGGCAGGATACACTGCAGCATCCAGCACTGGCTTCAGCTATATTTCCACCAAATTCAATGAGAACACTCCCATCAGCTCTAATGACATGTGAATTAATACCTACTGGTTCTGAAATCCCATCCAGTAATTCCCACCTTAAACCAGACCAGCATATTTCAGCACAATGATGTAGAGTCCCATGTACATCTTCACTACTGTAATTCAACTGAATTTACAGAAACTTTTAAAATTGCACAATGAGGATGCAAGTACTTCTGAACTAGATTTCACAAAGCCAAAACACACTAATTCCAACCCTTCAAAGTTCAGGTCTTGAGGAAAAAGCTCTCACCAATCACAAGCCCCTCTTCTCTAAAATCACATTTGAAAAATCACATTGCTCATCCTCTGCTTTCTATTTGAATTAAAAGAGCAGTCTACAGAAAAAGGATGAGTCAGCTCTTTGCCACCCAGCTTCCTCAGGTCACACATATGTTTAATTCCTCTGTCCCAGGGCTAGAGTGCACCTTAGCTTTGTACGCTTTGGCTTTCCGAAGAATGTTAGTTTGAATTACCTGAGGGCACCTCTGAGATACCTGATAAAATTTAGAATGTGGGTTTTTCTCCCTCCCTAGTCATAGCTTTTGCCCTACCCACAGATTACACTTTCATGGGATACATGACATGGTGGGAAGTACATAGATGAGGAGGAAAAATAAGGATTTAAAAGGTAAGATAGGAAGTACTTTCATCAGAATATCAAGGATAGGCGATTTTTAATTTTTCTAAGAGAAGCATACAGGCAATAAGGAACAGGTCCAGAAGTTGAGGAAGAGTTTTTGTAAGCAAGATCTTATGCCTGTCAAGTTGCCAAGCTATGCTATGATCTTTTGGGAAAAAAAAACTAGTCAGAGGCATTCTCTCTTGATAAAAGGGTTGAATTTAATACTATGCATCCTCTCTTGTTACACTCTAGAAGCAGAAAATACATTGCCCCACCTTCTACATTGTAAAAACATGGATCTTCCACTCTGAGCTGGTTTTCAGTTCAAATTCAAACAAAACCCAAGTACAGACATTTCAGAGGCTACACCACTTATTACATACAATGGAGTTAGAATTTCATAGCCTTCCCTGCCCTGGCCTCTATACCTGCCCCTTAATGATTGTAGATCAATTTTTCAAGACCAGAATGCTCTTATACACAAGACCTACAGGTGTTTCACATCTGAGAATAAAGCCAATCTTATTTTAATGTGTAGGTAGAAGATAAGACTCTCCTAGTAAGTTCAAAAGTTCCATATGTGCCCTATTACCCTGATTTAATACTTGTGCTCCATGTTGGGTCAAAATGAGAAAGCATTTTTTTTATAATTTAGACACAGGTAACCATCTTTTGTATTAAGGTATTACAAACTAAGTTGCAGTCTTCATAAGAACGCACAGAACAAAGATGCCACAACAGAGGATAGGAGGATGTGCACAGAAGGAATAAAGTAAACATACACACATATTGAAAATATGAGTGTTGGGAAGAGGGGACCAGCTGGGAAGGGATCTCATCTGCATGGCCTGAGGAAGGATAAGTTACAAATAGGCAAGTAAATGAAAAAGTATCATCTCTGCATCAGTTTCTGTCTAATTTTAATCAGAGAGGTTTAAGTCCAGGATGGCTGAAATAATTGAAAAAAATTGTTTAACCAGAAACCTATTTCCAAGCTAATATGAAGAAAAATTAGTAATATTTAAAAGAAATATATTTGATGCAAATAGTAAAAATAAAATGGGTCTGACCTTACCCAAAGCAATATGTAAAAATAAATGGAGGGTGGATTTAGTGCAGAATGACTGCAGGTTCTGTAAAGGAATTCTCCTCCAACTGCCAGCTCAATGCTTGTTCACTTCCTGAAGCTCCCAGTAAAGTTACTAGCAGCCAGGCACTTAGAATCATAGAATACCCTGAGCTGGAAGGGACCTACAAGGATCACTGAAGTGCAACTCCTGGCCCTGCCAAAGACCACCCCAAGCATCACACCATGTGCCTAAAAGCATTATCTAAATGCTTCTTGAACTCTAGCAGGCTTCATGCTGTGACCACTGCCCCGGGAAGACATTCTGGATGAAGATGTTTTAGATTCTTCCAAATATCCAACCTACTTGCCACACAGTGCTCTTGTGTCCTGAGCCTATGAAGCCAGCACAATCCCATTTCCTCAGTGAGGCCTAAGGTGCCCAGCACCTTGCCCTGTGCACCCTTGCAGCCAGACCCACCCAGCCAGCCTCTAGCAGCTCTCCCCAAATCTTACCTCAGTTCCTCCCATCACAAGGACTAATGTGTGCACTTAGCTTTTCATTTCTTAGCTTCACACAGCTTTAAATTGGAGTCACCCTCAGGCTATCCCAAACCCTCCCAGATACTTACTGAAGCAGAGGATGCTCCCATCACACACTACTCAGCATCCTAAATGGCATGCTATGTTTCAAGGCAAGCCAAGTTGGTTTGAAGGACTTGCAAATGCACCTTTCCCTATAAAGGAGTTCTCAGAGAGGTAAAATGTGGCATGTTTTTGATTGTAGACAAGACAGGTTTTTTAAACACACCCAAAGATTAAGCAGCTGATAATTTAAAATATAAAACAAATAACACCTTAATCTTGACCTTTTTCTGCATTTCTCGATCAAATGAACTCCTATCAGAATGGTTATGTTGGAAAACAACTATGATTCATTTTAAAGAGAGCAAATAAAATGCAAACAAAAACTAGGAATGCATTAATCAGTAACCACTACATACACATAAGTATAGTACACATTAAAAAATGTTACACCAGTTATTCATTAATCAGAGTCCAACATCAGTTCTAAAAGTCCACCTAATTCCAACAAAGAAGGAACTGAGCTATTCCTCTATTACAGTAATCATTATCTATCAGCTGAATTACTCCTATACAACCAATGTACCTACACTGAGTATCAAATAAAACAGCCCCCAGAAAGTTGTCTTAAAACTACTGACACGTGTTTCTTGGCTTGCACAGAAGCACAACATTCAGTTTACAGTACAGCATTGCTGAGTTTTGCAGTCTCCACTTGCATGTTTGCATAAGTTTAGCTATGAGTCAGGAGCTCATATGCCTATCATGAAGCTACATAGGTTAACACTGAAAATTAAGAAGTAAGCAGAGTTAGAGCTGTTCTTGCAGTAAACTGTGAATATTAACTCAGTTGCTGGTACTTGCCAAAGAATATACTGATATGATTTCAGGATGTGTGTGAGGACATGCTAGGTAAAAAGAGTGGGTGGAAGGAAAAATAAAGCAGTCTCCAAGAACTGATATGAGAGATCCACAAATCTCTGCAGATAAACAGAAGTGCTCTGTTTCTAGCCTGTGCTGATATAAAGCATCCTAAGCTAGGACTCGCCTTTATTTGGCTCTGTGTTAATATGTTCACATACCTTTTGGTACTGCCCCACTGTGCAGGGTCAGTAAAACATACAAGGTCCTTGTCACACATTGCCAGACAACCACACAGGTACCCACAGCAACAGTTGTTATAGCAACAGTTGTTGCTACAAGTACAAGGGCTAAGGAAACCAAACTCAAAGAAGGCACAAGGTTCAGTACCTGCAAGACAGTAATTCTGACCAAATGTGCCAAAAGACATCATCATCTCAGATTATTGGTAAGATAAAATCCTGACTACTTCAAGATGCTACTCTAAAAGCATTTTAGTTAATTTCAAGACTCACTTGTCTTTTGCTGATTTATTATAAAATCAAAGAAAGTGTGATTCCACTTCCCCTGCTTTTTCTTTAGAAAAAGACATCCATGAAACCCAGACAAGTCAGCACATATCAATGCCTGCACATAGCACAGGAGGCTGTCTCACTTACATTTCCATCATGATTGGGGCAGGAGAGTGGTTTGCCTGCAGCAACAGCAGTGACAGTCTCCAAGATGGAGGACTCCTCAATGCTGTTGTCCGGCGTTCGCTGCAGGACATCCATCAGGTTGGTAATAAAGAAGTTGTTCTGGAGTGCAGAAACCCCTTTCTCTGGCAGAATGGAGGTCTGGCGGCACACGGGACAAGAAAGGGTTAAGCTATGGGCTGGAATGTAATTCTGTAAACACCTATGGGGAAGGAAGGTAGAAGGAGAAAGAAAGGGAAAGTATCATCAAAGAGGGAAAAAAAACCCCTTTCATCAGTTAAAGAGCTAGTTTGAAATAGTGCTACCCCTACTTGTAAAAGCACATCAAACAGGCTTCTGAAGCAAAAGTGGTTATGGGGAATAATTTTTCTTCTAAACCTTTTTTAAATCTGCCACATGAAAAAAAAATTCAATAAGCAGACATCATTAAAAGAGTTACATGCCTTTTTTTGAGATATTCATGCAGTTATCATGCTTTCAGACACCTACTGCATTCTGCTTACAGGACATTTTATGCAGTAAAAATTTCAAATTCATCTGATAAAGTCTGGCAGACATGAAGTTGCATCAAGTATTTGAGCCTGTGCCTTTAACTGACTAACCAGTGCTTGACCCTTGTCTTTCCAACAGAATTCCTCTAATAACTTGTGTTTGTGGGTTTAATGTTTCAGAGGTAAAACACGGTCCCAATAAAACCAAAGGAAATTTTTTCATCTATTTCAATTTGGGAAGTTTTGGCAGTTACCCAAAATCAACAAAGCTTTCTTTACGACACGGGGAACTACCTGCTAGGTTATCACAGCTTATGTTAAGGGGAGTTTTGGGGGAAATTTTTGTTTGTATTTGATTGGGAGGGCAGTGTTGGTGTTTTTCAGAAAAACTAAATTTCACAGAATATAAACCTGACACAAAATTTCAGCAATCATATATGCAAAATATATGCAGAATATGCAGCAGGCTGGCTAGGTGAGACTTAAGGTCACTTTTGGCCTTGGAAATGAAGTTAACACCTGGCTGGGCATGCAACATACAATCACATGCAATATCCCATAGTAAGTATGGCCCTGTAAGCAGAAGAAGCTTTGCAGAATGCAGTTCTCAAGGGAGCAGTGCTACACCAAATTCCTCATAGGATCCCAACTGAGAAAGTGTGACCTCACACAGCTCCACAGCTCTTGTCCTTTTAAAAGGATTTTGGCTGCACCACTCTTCATCTTCCCCTCGTAGCCCTCCTCCTGACCCCCCAGTAAGGGCTCTGTGAAAGGAGAGCCTAGGCTTTGCACATCAGCACTTCACTGGAAGAGGTCTTCCAGCCTCTCTCCATAACCAGATCAGCCTAAGAGGATTACAGTGAAAACCAGAAGCTAACCTTAGGTTTTACACATAAACAGAAGTCAGGAAATGTAACATCTTGTCACACTGACTTCAGTAAGAGTTTCAGTGCTGTCTTTTTGAATGCTGGGATTTCCTGTTGTTCTACAAAAGACCAGTTCCATCTGACACAAGCAAAGATCCACAATTTTTCTTTCACCCTGTGCAAAGGTAGAGATTCACACCACAATTCTTGCTAAGAGGTGGAAATCTCCTAAATTAAATAATTGTTCACACCACATACCATTTATAAACCTTCTCCTGCCATTCAATATACAATCCAGAGTTGCATTCCATCATCAGATTAAGAACTCTAACCACTAATTCTTCAGCTAACTTTTATGCAAGTGCTGTATTTTCTCCACAATTTGATGGATAGTGCAACATTAAAGTATCATTATGCATATTCAGTTAATTCAGCCAAATACAGTAAAAGGCAGGTTGCTGGTTTATCACATCTCTTTCCAGAGAGCTTCCCACTTCAGTCAACCAAACTGCAGAATAACGAAGACATTTAATATCAGGTTATTAATAATGCATGTATCATGTCTAAGTCTTGGACATTAAAGGATGGGATAATTACTTATCAGCTTAGTAAATCAACAAATATTTTTTTAAATTGTGTCTAATTATATGATAACCAGAATAAATTTGAGACCATTAACTTGAGGTCCAATTTCTGACTATCATCACCTTTCACACTGTAGCAACCATATTCATTAGTTTGATTAGATTTACTTTTTGTTTACTCATGCATAAAGGGAACATATTCCAAATATGCCTCTGCTGTCTCTTCTTCCTGCCTGCCACAAACGTGTTTTTCTACATCCCTGTCTCTCCAGCCTTCCCAGACTTTATCATGCCTTAACACCACATTGACAAGTAGAGGGAAAAGTCCCTGTCCTCTAAAGGATGCCTTGTCCTCTGCTTGCAGCATGACACAAATCCAGCATGAGGAAAGGACTTACCTCTCACAGAAAGTGTGCAGGCAGGGAAGTACTTTGGGGTTCTTGTAACGGTCCAGGCATATGCTGCAAATCAGAAACTGCTTGTCAATCTGACGGACCACAGGACTTGGGATGTTGGAGCCTTCACTGGCCATCCTAGACCACTGACATATGGGTCCTGTTCCCTTCTACCCTGCACAGTGCTGAAAGCAGGGTGGGGAAAAGAAAAGAAAAATGGCTTATAAACTCCATGTAATAACAAAATCATTGACTAATCCACTCATGTTTTATCCTTATGCAGGAATTCATACTTCCATATAAAATCAAAACAAGAAAGAATGAAACTTCTAAAATGGTTTATCACTGATGACAGCCAGGGAAACAGTCAGCAACATCTACAATACCACTGCCTGAGCATTCTGGAAAGGCATGCTGCCTCTAGACTGAAAGAGTTACGGGGCTGTCTGGTTTTAAAGAAAACCCATGATAAAAACATTCTTGAGCCAATAGGTTCAGCCAGTGCTAACAAACATCAGATTTCTTACATCTACAGTACCGCTGGCAAAATGCTCAAACTGGAACTGCACCAGCCAGTCAAATGGCTGCGTCACAGACAGAGTACAAAAATTATTCACCTAACAATTTTTTTCCCTTGTCAGTGCTGGTATTTCCAAAAATATTGTAGATTTTGACTTCAGGAAGCCTCCAAGAAGAAAGCTCCAGAACCAGCCAGCCCCCGAGAAGGGAATGCTCAAATTCTGCATCACCAGTAGGGATGAGGTAGACACAATGAAAATCCTCATGATAAAAGAAACAGAGCAAAGAAGAGGCAAGTGATAGCCACTGAGAATCAGCAACAGTACAGTGAAGGATACATGAAGCACATCCAAATAATAAATGCAATAAAAATGTCATTCTAGGCAGAACTAGTAGTAAGAATCATATTTCTAGGACTGAGGATTCTTCATAATCTGGCATACAAAGCATGGAATAAAAGGCTAAGAAAAAAGTCTACTAACTGTTAGAATTAAAATCGCAGGTTAAAGAGATGGCAGCAGGCTTGGAACACCTCCTGTCCTGGAACAAGGCACAGGGAGAGAAAAACGTATGTTCTTTTCAGCTGGAGATACAGATTATAGCCAATAATAGAATAAAATGTGAAAAGAGAAGACAGAAAGAAAAGGATGGAAGCAACCATAGAAAAAAGTAAACTGCCTGCTAAAATAGTTTAGGACAAACAGAGTCCCTGGCAGGGTGGCCCAGCAGGAACTCCTCTCCATCAGCATTTCTAGCAGGCTGGAGTGCCGGGAGGCACAGGCGCGACTGTCGCAGCACTGAGCTCTGCCAGAGCTCCCGCACCCACAGTGGAACTGGGCTCTTCTCCCTGAGCTGCAAACCCAGCTGGGCTTCTTCTCTGCAGGTACACTCCTGAGGCGTCTAACTTCTCCCTAAACAATTTCTACCCCTTTTTAGTCACCCATTTCAGACAATTTGAGATCTAGCTCGAGGGCAGTTCAGGCTTTCCAAGACAAAAACAACAAGCCCTCTGCTGATCATGCTCAAAGGTCTCTCAATTCCAGAATGCTTTGCATGACCTGTGCGGCATTTTATCGTTAGTGTTACATTAGGTCTTCTTCCTGTGCTTGAACGAATGGCACACTGGTCTGTCAGAACCCACGCTGCTCTTCCCGAGCTGTGTACTAAGCCATACGGGGATGTTTTTTCTTACTACACCGAGCAAGGGGCTATTCCTAGGATAATGACAGTGATTATGGATCATAAGTCAGCTGTGCTGGCTTCCCTGATAACATAAGTGGGGCATAGCCTCAGTGTTAGCAAATACAGCAGCATAAAATTATTCACACTTCAAATACCCAACAGCAGTAACTGACATTTAATTCAATGGAAAACACTTATGGCAGGCTCTTTTGTTTCCTTTTTTTCTGAGGAAGGGGAAACTGCAATGATAAAAATTGCTCTAATACTCAGAAAATATTATGTTTGTTCATGACCCAAAAATGCATGATTTGTGGATTGATATTTGCATGTCTTTTTCATCTTTTTTAATACTTAAAAAAAATTTCTTTCCCCATAGTAAGATAAATGTATTACATAAACACAAATTATTTTTTGCTATTTAAATGCCAAAAATCACACGGAATAAACCTTCAGAGATCAATTAACAAACAGTGTTACTTTTAAAAAGCTTGCGTTAAAGGTGGCTTTACAAGAAGTGGAACCAAAATATCTGGCTTTTACAAAGCGGAGTAGAAAGACCAGACAATCAAATACCCATTAACATATTCATACATGTGGCAGTATAATACGCAGAACATCACCATGAAAAGGAACATCAGTGTTTCAAAAGGAAAATTCATTTCACCACTTACACAGCTGTGTTTGCCTCCCACTCTCCCTCCCCAAATGTTAGGGGCAGGGACCCAAATAAAACAGGGACCATAATCAGAAGCAGGAGGATTTCTTATCAAAAGCATGGTTTCCAAATTGGACACACCAACAGTATAATTTTTTTGTTATAGACTGAACACATACTGGAAAAAGCTGTATTTAAGATATGAAAGAATAGGTGTCCAGTGAGTGCTGCCTGTCATTTAACAGAAGAAAGTCCTCTATCAACCAGGTATTATTTTCTGTATTTCATCTTTCCCTTATCAAGTAAAGCTACACCAGTAAATAATGCTTACACAAGAAAACCTGCTGCTGGCTGAAAAAAAATAATATTGATTTAACCTGTTTTTCATCTTAGTTTTTCACATTCTCCCAATGCCACTGCAAAATCGAGTAATTCTTAGCATTTCCTACACAAATCTCATTCCAGCTACATTATTTTTCAAATGCTCATGCTTTAAGCTTTGTCAATGAAAGAAACCATTAATGATTCAGAAATAAGGGCTTTTAATACTCTGTATTTTGTCTGAAATGCAGCACACATCGTCATTAATCCCCTGCGTTCACATACATCAGATTTAAAACATGCACCTGGAAATAGAATTTAATCTGTACATTTCAAGCTTTGGCCTCTACCTGGTACAACTTCTCCCACAAATAGTCCCTTTAAAAAATCTTTTGAGTATGGGATTTGCAGGATTCGGCAGCCTCTCTAAGGCAATTCTACCTTTGATGTAGTCTTGATGAATGTGATGTGGCTATGAGAAGGATGATTTTGCTCACTCATTCAATGAAAACAACTGAACAATCAAATATTATTTGAAGAAAATCTGGAGATTTTAGACAGTGTTTTTGAATTTCACCAGACAATATTTTTTCTGATTTACTGCTATGCTTGCAGCAACATAAGTTTTAAATATATTAGCAGTGGAAGATTTTACAAAGTAACACTACTTTTACAAGAAAAAATGTTTTTGTTTTTGGTTTTTTTTTTAGCAGCATCTTCCGAGTTCAAAAACTGCCGGAGTGCTTTTCAGAGGTTCATTATGTCTCACAATCAAAAAGAGCGGCTTAAAGCATCAGCTTCGAAAACAGGGCAATCACTTCTCCATGGAGTTACACTTCGTAATTTAAACATGCAAAGCGAAAGGACTAAGAAACATTGCACTAAACAAGACTTAAGCCCCCACCCATTTATCTGTGACACAAACACACACACACAAAACCAAATTCGGGCTCGCTAAACCAAGTGCAGTAAAGGGCTCTGAAATTTACTCCCTTTGTCGCCTTTTCAAGGCTCAAGGATCGCGATCTTCCCAGCCACCCCAGAAACAGCAGTACTCTTTTTTTCCTTCTGCATGGAGATACAATTTTCATTTAAAATACACTAGACCACAAAGAAAGGAGAAAACAATGGCTCTCTAAGCTAGTGGAAAGCTTTGCCCCGCTATGCATGCATGCCTTCAGGAAAGCCAGGGTGCGGCCCCACCCATATGAAAGGAACTTCCTATAGCACTGGAAAAGGGGTGGGAAAAAAAAAAATAAAGTTAAGTATAGCAAATAACAGTTCCAGAAGAGCTGTTTCAGGTAAAAAGAGACATGTAATAGAAAAATGCACCCTTCTACAGGTATCCTCAAATGAGCTCTGGAACTCCTGAAAATTCTCTATTAGTTTTCCAGTCAAGAAAAGACATTGGGGAATCAAGTAACTGTTCACTTCACAGGATTTTATTCCTAAAAGAGCAGAATTCTGTTTTATGATACACTGCTTGCTGTCTCTGAAATTCACCCAGCTAGAGCTGCAACTAGCCTGAAAGTACAGCCTGAGGAGAACAAATTGCTTGCAGTTTATTCATCCTCTTCTTATCAATGGTATTCACAACCTAGAGGGTCTATTCATGTACTATGAATGAATAGGTTTCCAATGGCAACGTTTCCAAAGGAACACTTAGGCCTCCAGAGCCATAAGAAAAGGTGGGGAACCTCAATAATGTTTCTTCAAGGACTGGGAGAGCTGAGCCTTTAAAGTCCTCAAAACAGATAGATCACCTGTCCACAGTCTGTAGGAATAAAGAACATATTCAAGCCATTTCTAGCAGCAGCCCCCAGATTAGCCAATACAGAACACACTGAGCAAATTAATAATCAGAACAGCCACACAGTCCACTTGTGTAAAAGGCTTGATAAGCTAAATTTGCATTCCTTTCTCTCCCACTCTTGCAATCAGCTTAGTGCCTTGTTTAAGACACAGCAACCCTCTTCTTTCTTACAGCATGCAGAAATGTAATGAACAATCGGGCCAAAACAGGAGCAACCCAACAGCAGCCACCAGGAATAACACTGAGCAAACTTGAGCATTTCAGACCTACCCATCTTTGTAGAAAAATAGCTTAAATCAGTGCAGTGCTGAGGATAAAATCCTTGCAGGGACGAAGCTGCAGTTCCGCAGTAATCCAAACGAACAAACCATCATCTGTTAATATTTCAAACCTCACTCATAAAACTGCTAAGGAGTCCCTATCACAGCACAATCATTATTAGATGCACGAGAGATTTTGTGCTCTAAGGAATGACGCTCCATTCCATGAAGAGGACAGGTGGAAAGAAAAATGGAAGAATAAGAGGAGGCCCAGTGAAGTCGTCATGAATTTTTTTTTTTCCTCCCTGGGTCATTTACAAGTGGGAGACCCCTTCAGGATTCAAACCAATCAATCTTTATTTAGCACATCTTTTTCTCACTCAGCCCGTGTAGAAAGACTGCAGCAAATGGTGCAAGGGATTGTGGGATGGGGAT